CTACCTTCCTGACTTATTTTTTAGCTAAGGTAATTGTTTCTTTTGAAGTGTATAAACTGCTATAGTGTTGAACATTGTTTAGATATAGAGGAAACTACTGTCCTTCATTTTAAGATGCTATAGCTGATATACCATCAGAAAACGTTTTCAGTTATTTTTTCAGTATCCATAATCGATGCATATTTTTTTCTCAACTGCACTCAGTTCTCTTGAAAACCAATAATGAGTTTCTTCCCTGCTGCCACCTCTGATTCTCTGTCTCCCCCTCCCTCTCATTCTCCCTTTATTACCTCCTGTTCTTACTCCCTCCCTGAAGAGATGTGAGACACAGGTAGGACATATAGAATAACACATATTAAAACAACTTTTTCTACCTTACAAATCTTTAATATTTATTCTGGTTTTTCCCTAAAAAATCTTGCTTTTTAGTTTACCTCAGTCTTTGTTTCTGTTAAGCCACTATAATTTTCTCAGCATGTGAAAAAAATTCCTGTCATTTATTCAACCGTTGTGAAAGTTTTGAAAACAAAGTTCACCATGAAATAAAAGTGGATGGGAAATCCGAGAGTGCTACCATTCTCAGCCTACAATTACGCATCGAGAGAATGTGGAGATCGTGGTGGACAGTAGTGGCAGAGACTCATCATAAACTGTAACTAGGGAAATAAGGTGGTCCAGACAGTGGTAAGCACTACAGTGAGACTCCAGAGGGGAAATGTAATAGTGCCAGGTGTGTGTGTGTGTGTACTGTGTCTCTGCATGTGTGTGTGTACATACGCACATAATAAAGTTTCCGTAGCTCTTAAGTTGTTAATGGAAGAGTTCAATTAAATGGTTTTTAAGACGCCTTCAAACCTTTCATAGTGATGCAACTTTTCTAATTTTGTATCTGTTCAGTATCGTTGTATCTTCTTTACTATTCAAATTGCAGGTCCTGTTGTAAAAAAACAACAACAAAAACACACCATGTCTGTGTTTCCTACCATCACATCTTGCATTTGTCTGCTTGCATAAAGAGGCTCAGCAGTCGCTGCTCTGGCTGACGGGTCAGCAGCAGGGCTAGAGGCGGGCTGGGCTACACCCGTGGCTCTTTCCTCCGGGAGCTGCCTGGCTCTGTCCTCACTCTGTGAGCCCCGAAGCGTCATGCCCGCTCCTGTGGTCACCAGAAGATCTGCGGGCAGAGAGTCTCCCATGGAAGTCAGTGTGACGTGAAGACTAGGGATAGCAATGGGAATAAGAATAATTAGAAAAAAAAACTGCATCTATTACAAATCTCCTCAGGGGACTGTGGTAGAATTTCTGGAACATTGTAAATGCAACTCTCCCACCTGGTGGAAGACAGAGGGCAATGTTTTCTGCTGAGCATACTTTGCTCCTCACCTGTTTAGATTTTTAAATTATGTGTTTATTTTCCTCACTAATATTCCAAAAAAGAATCAGGAGGAAAATGTACTTTTCTTGGTTGTCATAGAAAAAAACATTCTGAAATTGTTTCTCGTGATATTATAAAGCCAGTTGCATGTGTGGATGTGTATAGACCTAAACTACATGTGGAAGATGGATGGATGGATGAAAATTGTGCTGCGAGCCTTTTGGGTGGAGAGAAGTATATGTGTTTTCTTTTCTATTTTTCTTTAGTAGTAGGATCTTTCAGCCTTGCTGCTCTCATTTTTTGCTCTTGCTTTCACTTAAAATTTTTATATAGCTAAATGGAGAGGAAAAAAAAAGAGCTATAGAGTTTTAGAAGAACTCATTACCCAAAAACTCACATGCAAAGAAGCTAACTGAGGCACTGTGGGATTTGACATCTCACTCTCCCCTGCAGAGGCAAAGCGAACCTACTGGACATGGGCTCACTGATGATCCGGCCCATCCAGCGCCTGATGAAGTACCCGCTGCTGTTGTGCGAGCTGCACAAGGCCACGCCGCCCTCGCACCCGGACCGCGGGCCGCTAGAGGAGGCCTGCGCCGCGGTGAGGGCCATCAACGTCAACATCAATGAGCAGAAGAGGAGGAAAGATCTGGGTAGGAGAAACGGAAGGGCTGGGCGTTGTCCATCTGTCTCCGGTCACAGGTCTGAGCGTGCAGAGCAGGTGAGGGAGGAGGATGGAGACCCAGGGTGCGGGTTGGGGAGGGAGCCTCGGGCACTTTGGCCTGACAGCTGGTTTCAGAAGATACAAAAGCAAGCACCCGGCCTCAACCGTCAACCTCATCAGATCTCTGCGTCCTTGAGGATGCACTGAGGGCTGAGAACACCACCACTTGCGCTCTTCCTCTTCTTGCGTGGGAGGGGCAGGGGAGGAGGAGGCCCAGGGCGCAGGAGCTGGGTGGGAAGAGGTGGCTGGGGCACAGCAGCACCACATAAGGGTCACGTGGGGCCACGTGAGGGTCACGCAGAGCCAAGTGAGGGTCACTCAGGGCCAAGTGACAGTCACATAGGGCCACGCGGATGTCACACAGGGCCAGGTCCCAGGCTTCCTCCTCCCACACCGGCCCAAGAAGAGAAAGAGTGCTAGGTACTAGTGTGCACCTCCTGAGTGCATGAACCAGAATTTCTCTAGTGCGAATACCTAGAAATGGATTCTCTGGGCCTCTGGTGTGTGCATCCTCAACTCTGAGAAAAAGAGGGAGAGATTTGTCTAGTATGAAAGGATTTCCTTAAAGTAAGAGGGAAACTGACCCATGTCCTTGAAGGGTGGAGGTTCTGAGGCTCAGCATGCGGGAGGCTGAGACAGGGCACCGGGCTGGATCCCGTGTCCTCTGTGCACCAGGGTGGAAGGCGCACACACTTTCATCCTGACACTGACCTTGGAAACTTAGGGGAAGTGCAGCCTTTCTGTGCAGCATGTGCTCAGACCTGTTCCCCCCTTCTTCTCTCTCAGTTCTCAAGTACAAGAAGAATGACGAGGACGAGTCACTCAAGGACAAATTGTCTAGACTAAATATCCATTCAATCAGCAAGAAATCAAAAAGAGTGACAAATCATCTAAAGATTCTGACCAGAGGAGAATCACAGGTCAGTTGCCTCCTTGGGCCACCTACTTTCTTCCAGGGAATGTAGGCACTGTCATTTTGGGCAAGTTTTGTTTTGTGTTACCAGGGCCTTGCCCTGTGCGCCTCCTCCTCTCTCTCAGGTGAAAATGGGGATGGGTAGCTTTGACCCTGTCTTAGCTGTGATGCTTCCACTGGGGACGCAGGGAAAGGAGAGAAGGGGACTCCAGGACATGGGACACGAGGGCACCACAAGAGTCTTGACGCTGCGCTCCACCACCACATCATCTCCCAGGGATGTTCTCCCTAAATCTGTGATTTAGTTCTGCTTTTAAACATTTCACTCTCCTTTAGGGCTCCCTTGATGTTCATTTTACCTTTATTTCACCTGTAAAGAAGCAAAGTATTTAAACGAATAACTTGGCGTGATGTTTTCCCTACCTCTTTCCGGCCTTTCCCCTGCTCCCCAGATGCACATTATGTGAGTAGCTGGTTTTTGTCAGCTATTGAGCCTGGCTTGAACCACTTTCATCTCAACCCCTAATAAATAATAGATGGGTTGGCAAAGGCTTGTAAACTTTAATGTGCTTAAGAAGAATTACCTGAGGAGTTCGTGGAAAGGCAAGTGGGGGGGAAATGTCCATCTCATTCACAGGTGCATTCTAGAGTCTGATTTTTTTAACAAGCATTCCAGGTGTTTTGATGCTCATAATCTTGAGTGAGAGTTCAATGGAGCAGACATTGAAAATCATGAGATAGAAAGTTCATGAACCTGACTTGGTAATACAGGGGGCTTCTCACAGAAAGTAGGAAGTAGAATTGTTAGTATACTATACTGTTCTTATTTTACTTCCTCCTCATTTCCTCGTTTTCATCACTTATTATGTTAACATCACTAGGATTTTTAGTTTGAGTTAGAGGTATTGACCTTAAATGTTTTCTTCTATCTGCCTCACTGTTTAACTGCTAGGGTCTTTCTCCTTTTCGTCCACTAAGCCTTTCCACTTTCTGACCATGAAGTAGAAGTGGTCTATCCCTCCCTTTGAATGCTTAATAAACTTACTCTCTGTATTCCACTGTTGGCACTGTTCATGTTGGAAAACACCAGCAGAAGGCAGATATGAAGAGAAAGCATTTGAAGTTATCTACACCAGGGTTTGAACCTCACCTGTGCTACTTACTAAATATTTGTCCTGGCACACATGGCTTAAACTTAATGTAATCATCAGTTATTGGGGATCATACTAGGACCTCACAAATAGGATGGCTTTGAGAATTAAATGAAGTTATGTATATATAAAGGATACCCCGATACAATGTGTAAAATGTTGATTATTATAATTCTTTTATGTTGTTGCTTTTTATTATTATTTAACTTTGAATGTGTAGGTGTACTGAGGATGTAAACTCCCTCATGTATGGTGTCATCGTGATTTTACTTTCTGTATTTTTGTTTTGGCATTAAAATACCTTTCTGGTCAGGAGACACATCCTCTCCAAGGGCTAGATAATTCTTAGAGACAAGGAAATGGCTCAGAACACAACTTTCACAGGCAAGCCAACCAGTCCCAAATCTATAGCCCATTCAAATAAGCCCCCCTACCTAAAGCTTATACACTAAACTAATCATTCCAGGGCCAGATACCAAGCAACTAGAGACCAATCCTATAACCCTGGGCCTATGAAACCGTACCACGGAATCCTAAACTTCTTATTCTCACCTACCTTGGCTTTTTCCAAGGAAATCCCAATAAAGGCTCTGGCCTAGACTTTCCCTTTCTTCCTATTTTCTGTTATTTGATTAAAGTCTGGGGCTTCCCCTGTGAGCAAATGATGACCCCTCTTGAGACCTGTGGGTACAGTATATACTGCTTTCCAAGCCTTGCCCTCATTTTCTCTTGTGGCTGCACTGACTTTACTGTACATAGAGAGCACATACATTCTTAGAGTACATGGCTTGTATCATGTTTTCATTTGCATCTTTGTGTCCTTAGGGTGTCACTAGGTCCATTTCATGTAAGAAGCTGCTCCTGCTAATGTGCAGCTATAATATCTGAAGTTTAGGACATTTATGGAATAAGATAACAGATCAGAGAAAGGACAATCAGGACGACATTTCAACTAAAAACACCAGTAATAAAAATCAAATTGGAAATTTAAGAAGAGATTGCAGTCTCTGTGAGCATGTATACATGTCGTGCAAACAGTTCTCCACTCTTTGGGATTTTACCTCTGAAGGCAATGCCATTGGGAAACAATAGACAGGTTCTAATTTTGGACAGGCTTTTGTGTAAGCTGTTAAATCCTTTAACATATTTATCATCAGCTTCTTATATTTTTCAGTTGTGGACTAAAAATGAATTGTAGTTAAAATAGCCTGAAGGGATATTAATTAGATTTTCCCCTTAATCTTTTTAGAGAATGTCCTGCCAGCAATGAAGCATTTCACTTTTAATCAGAAAATCAGCTGCATAGGCTGTACTGGAGAAGAGATAAATCTCAAATCAATCAATTTTGCTCTTGTCAGCAGCTCAAGTGAAATATTGGTAGAGTTGGGGTATAAAGCTATTACCCAAGAGGAAGACTCTGTTCAATTCATCATACATATATTGAAATCTTACATGTGAGATATAGAAAGATTAGGAATGCAAAGATGAACAGAAGTAGATTCTGAATTCAGGCTGCTTGTTTTTGCATCCTGATCTTACCTATTAATATGGGTAAGTTTCTCTAACCCTCTTTAGTTGAGTAAAGGTCATATATCTGCCACAAAGAGATTCCAAAGCACAGTTGTTAAGGTCAGGTGGTCATTCATTTCTCTCCCTAATGATAGTCCTGATATGTGAGCAGATGGGCTCTATTTCAGATGAGCCTTCTTGAACCCAACTTTGTGTAGTGCTTTTCCCAAACATACTGCCCTCATCTGCTTGGTTGAAGCTGGCTCATTTCCATGTCTTCCTTCAGGCCCAAGGACAGTGTTACAAGGCCAAGAGTTAAAAATGGAACACGGAGCTTCACTCACGTCCTAGCTGCCCAAACCCAATTATGTGAGCAGTGCTAGCTGCAAGGGAGTCTAGGAGATGTAGTTTTCTAGCAGTCTAGCCATGTATCCAGCTTAAACTAGAAGTATGGGTTATGTCAGCAAAAGCACAATGGAAGATACTGACAATCTCTTGCACCCACCCAAAGCTTCTATTTCTTTATCTTTGAAGTGGGATCAGTCATAATATCTACCATATAGGTTTATATAAGAATGAGAAAATGGAAAAAAGGTTTGGGTGCAGTGTCTGGAACATGAGTGTTAGAAGAGCACATTAGGAAGAATAAACTAATTTTCTATGGTGGGAAGAATAGCAGTGGATGTAGGATTCATAGAAAGGTTGACATTTGAGCTAGTCCTTTAAAATGCTATTTTTTAAACTTAGAATTTTTAAGACAGAAAAAGAACAACTACCTATTCCAGAAAAATAGTGTGAGAAAGGCTTGGATATGGGGAAGTAGAACTTAGCACTATGCCTCACCCTGTGATCTTTGAAAGTGCCACTTTAGATCATCTGGATTCTAGCCAAGGTATATAAAATAAAATATCTCATGGTGGTCCTGGGACACTGCATTTTTTAAAAGTATGCCTCAGCATATTGTTATACACATCAGACTAAGTTGGAGCATAGGGATTTTCTGATTTGTAAGCAAATCAAGAAATATTAGGTAAGATTTGTAAGACCAAGGGCTTTGGATTCTGTGTGGATTACAAAAGACCTCTATTTAATCAAAAGTTTTCTAGACAACCAATTATTAAAAGTTATAAAAATAAATAAAATAGTATCATCCCTACCCAGTCAGTTCTAAGGCCAGCTGTCTGAAATTAAGAAGCATATAAACCAACGGCAACCGCAATTATTACCAGTTATTAAGTTATTAAACAATTGGTGTCCTGTTCCACTGAACGTTTGCATGTTGGATGCTTTCTACTGGAATCATGTTTACCATCAGTCACAATAAGTGTGTGCTCTTAAAAATTGCCAGTAGCATATAAAAGCATGTTTTTCTGAATGCTAATACATGCAATATGAGAAAAAATCCCCTCAACATATGTGACCACTACCTTAATTCTGCAGATTTATCATAACAGAAGAATTAAGATCATATGTGATCGCTCAAATTTGACGTGATAATAGTAATTGGAGGTGATAATTACCAAATTTCTTTAACCATGGACCTAAGAATATTTCCTAAGTAAGCACTTGGAAATAAACTGGAGTGAGTGTCATAAGCAAAACAGTATGTTCCTGTCAATGATCAAATTTAACTATCATGTAAAACACACACATTACTATCATTTTAGCTTGTCAGTTATATATACCACTAAAAACTAAAGAGAACAAAATCCTACAGCTACTGTGACGCAGATGAAACCATGTGCAAATGAACAATAGCAGATCCAACTGCCTGATGTGGCTTTGTAACACTAATTGAACATGCAATTGTGCTGTGAGCCAACCCAGAAGGTACTGTGTGACAGTAGTCAGCATATCCCAGAAGGCTTTCCTAACAGCAGGGAATTTTTTTTAATGTTCTGGGCCTTCACTGTCTATACCATTTTTTAAACACTAGATTCATTTCAGTTATGAAAGTGATTTCATATGTATTTTAGGTGAAAGATACTACCTTTAACAAAGAAGAAAAGCTATTCAGATCTTTAGAAAAAACTGTGAGGCAATGTGTGAAGAATATCTCCTTCTGTCTTCAAGACATACAGGTAAGTAAGACACAGGCATTTCAATGTTCTTAGCAGAATGCATTCATTTCCATGGTTATTATGGGAGTAAATGTGACTGTTCCTTCATTTATGTTGCGATGCTCACTGTAGCAAACTGGGAGGGCAGCAAACAACCACTGAGGGAAGCCGGTAGAAGGCTGTGGCTGTGATCTTTACTGGCTCCACACTCCACTCCCTCCCCAGTCCAAACTGCTGTATTCTGGGGCTCTTGCTCCACTAATTGCCACATGGACCATCAGGCTGTTTCCTTTGTAACAGAGACATGTTCGTTAATACTGGATTGTAAATGAAGCAGAAATTGTGTGTACAATTTTATTGTCATCTCACTTTCTAGTACCTAAAATCTGTATGACAAAATACATGGAATTACAAAATAATATGAAATACAATAAGCAGATACCCTCACATGATTACACTGGAAGACAAATGCCCTCCCCAATATGTCTAGTCCCCTAGGAAATCATTCTGAACCCCTCAGGATCACTGATGCCAACACACCAGTTGGAGTACAACACAAATATTTCTATAGAAAGGCCAGTCAGGAGTTGTTTCTCACAGCTCTTGCAAGGGGTCACAGTGTCCTTAATGACATCTTGAAAATGGTTATGACTACGGGACATAGAGTGTTAGTAGTGTTACATGTAAATCAGCTAATAAATTGTGCCCTTCCTTTTCTGGAAGTTTTTATCCTGGGTATTTGCTTTTTGAAGTCAGTGCTTGATAGAATGGCATGCCAGCAGAGGATGAAGGTGACAAGTGCACTGATTTGGGGACAAGGTTCCATGTTCTGTAAGGACAAGCATGATTCTGTTCTTATTCATTATCTGACGCAAAGCCAGGTTTGCTAATCTCTTCCTAAGGTGCTGCCTTCTGTGAAAGGCAAGACCAAGACATAGTTGTAACAACCTGAGGACCGTGGGAACCTGTTCCTTAAGTGCCCCTCACAGTGAATGCCTTTCAGAATACTCACTGGAAAGTCTTGTGTTTTCACTGATTGATTCAACAAAAATATGAGCATATCTCTTAGAGAGCTAAATTCGAAAAACTGATGGTGGAATCAAGAGGACTGAAGTTGAAAATAAGCAAAGTGAAGGAACTGAATGCTTACCCAATGGCCAACAAGGGAATTTAAGGTGGATTCCACCTAAGCAGAGTACCTCACACAGGACACAAGGAGAACGAGACACGTAGGGAGGGAGGAAGCCGATTGTTACCAGTCACCAGGTTGCACGGAACAGTCATGAGATGTGTATAGACTCTTGTTTTTAATCTGTCAGGGGAAATGGAACGTTGTAACGATCTCGTTCATGTTCAGGAGGCTTTAATGGTGCTGACTCCAGAGCTTGGCCTTCTGTAATGTCTCTGCTGGGTTTCAGGACGCCCTGCCCTTTGCTCTGCAGACCGTGACAGAGCTGCAGGAGATGTCACAGCCCCCAGACGAGGAGGAGCAGGGCTCTACAGAGACCCCAAGGATTGCCCCAGACCCCTGCCATGACTTTGTAAGTTAATTATATAGCGAAATGCAAATTAAATAATGGGTTAAAAGCTACTTTTCATTTATTTTTCTGGAGTTAGAAAGAAAATGAAAGCAAATACCAAACTCAAAATTAGGAGATTGTAGCAGAGGATTTTAAAAAATTATTAAATATTTTAGGTGGATTAGTGAGGGTTTTATTATAATTGAAATTTAAGGCAACCCAAGACTGCTTCTGGGGTAGTCGGTGCCTGTGCAGCTTTTAGAATCAAGACTGAGTTTCAGTCTGCATAAGAGATGTCAAGGATTCAAGCTGTAAGGCTGTGTTCTTCTTAGAGTCTGTCCAGGCCTGGAGCACAGGTCTAGAGATAGGAATGCTGCCAGCACAGTACACGCTGAAAGCAAAGCCTGCTTTTGGAGAAAAGACTTTTACTGAGAGTCATATTATTTCTTCTGTTACATGATAAAATACTTATTGTCTAAGATTTATGTAAAATATAGCTTGGGAACCATAAAAACATGCTTGACTCGGTAAAATATTTGGTTGGTAAAGTAATCTGGATAACACTAATTTTAACTGAGTGCCTTGTGTTCTTATAGGTATAATTATTTTATATTAACTATTACATAGAAGATATAACAGACTCCATCATCTTGTAATGGCATTTTTCAGTGCCGGCATTATTGGAATTTGGGGGTAGGACAGGTCTTCACCAAGTGGCCCTTCTATTGGAGAATGGTTGGCACTCCTAGCCCACCATGCTCAGTCCAGTTGTTGTAACAAGTATTTCAAGTCATTGTTACAAACAATAAACAGACCCACAATTTCTAAACCTCAGGAAGGAACGTAGCCCCCAGCCCACTAGACGGTCATGCAGAAGCACCTTGATTTTCTGGCACTGGGAAATAGAAAATCAGGAATACATCTGAAATAAAATGATAGAGAGCTCGGTCACTCATGGGTGGATGGATGGATGATAAAAGTTTTTACAGCATATGTTTAATGGGAAAAATGTGGTTCATTACTTAATGTATTTTCTGGGTTTAATTACAGAGAGCACATGTTAGAGAAAGCCCTTATGGGTTTGCTGTTTAGGTTAATTCAAATTCATTAAGTCAATAAATATTTATTGAGTACATTTGAGCACTTGCCAAATCAAATTTCCCCATAAGGTCACCATTGAACCTAACCACTGAATTTAATTCAGTTCTCATCCAATTCAGATTGGGACCAGAACTGTGGAAAGAATTAAGTTTGTGAACTGTAGAATTCAAAGAATTAAGTTTGTACCACTGTAGTATGAAGTATCTTCCTCAGCAAACATGTTCCATGATTGAGCAGAAAGATGAAGGGGCCCTGCATAAAATCACAAGATAATTTATTAGGCTAAGTTAAAATAATTATCAGAAAACTCAATATAAAAGTAATGTTTTATATGTAACATATATAAAACTTTTTTAAAAAATGAAATATTAAGGCCAGGCATGGTGGCACATGCTTGTAATCCTGGCACTTGGGAGATTGAGGCAGGAGAATCGCCATGAGTTTGAGGCCAGCCTGGGCTATATAGTGAATTCAAGGCCAACCTGAACTGCATAGCAAGATCCTGTCTCAAAAATTTTAAAAAAGCTATATTAAGAATTCAAAACCTGTCTAAAGGTAGAACAATTGTTCTTATCTAACCATGAATGATACTTATATACATTTTTGTGTAGGGCAAAATATTAAAACAGAATCTGCTTCTTATTTGTTCCAACCACAATTCCTATGTGCAGGTGAACCAGTTCATGTCTGTGTGTCCCTAGAGACAGATGATAGCTAGACAGACAGACAGATAGATAGATAGATAGATAAATAGATGTTGTATTATATTTCCTATAGAATACAGTCAAGTCATAAGCACAGTAATTTACACCAGATATAGTAAACAGATTCTTTGCTTAGTCAAGAGACTCATTAAACAGTGTGCAGGTGCATATTGATTATGTCATAAGTTAGACAGATCTAATCTGGGTTGGCTGTTGCTGGTGCCAATAATAGAAGGTTTCCTCTCTTCTTGATTTCCCATGAGTTTACACAGAGCTACTAGGACTGGGTAGGTTAATTAATAGAGGCTTCTGCTGAGATGCTGACTTCCTGGATCATCTCAGAGCGTCCAGAGAAAGGCCTGTTCCATTCCCATCACCTAGTCATGTAACACAAGTGTAGATGATGGATGGGGAAGTAAGGCAGTCAGCAAGCATAAGACACTAGTGCATTTCAGAATAAAGTGCAAGGAAAGAGAAAGAGAAGAAATTAAATCTAGGGTGCTTGGTGCTGATCTGGGGTTGGGTGTGCATGCAGGTTTTACTTTCAGAGATTCAGACCTAAAAATATCAGTTTAAGATCCAGGTCCAGCCTCCATTTAACCCTTCAGTGCAAAGAGAAAGTTATAACTCTAGTAATTTCTGTCACAGGAGTAAAGTAATGATATTAAAATTCATTTCAATATCATCCCCTATCTGTATAGGGGATGCAATTCTATTACCAAAGATAAGCCCTGCCAGCAGTCAGGCACTTGGGGCTGATGTGGGAGGGATGGGTACAGTCTCCCCTGCCATGGACTGTGTCGCTGTGGCTGTCAGCAGATGGGAGAGTGACATGGTGAAGCTTTTACAGTCTTGGAAGTCAAAGGATGGAAATGGGCTCTGGATTAGAAAAAAGGGGAAAGGAGGTGCTGATCCCAACAACCAGCAGTGGAAAGAAAGGTGATTATGTTTTGGGTGAGAGGCCTTTCACTTTTATTTTTCTCTTCTGGTTGCTCTTCCGGTTCAGTACAAATCTCTGGTCCCTGAATAGACTTAGCTAACACAGAAGTGGTCAGGTATGTCCCTGCTTCCTTTGCTCTCGCAGAGAGGGACAGGTGGCCAAGGGCAGCCTGGGCATGCTCATGGCTGGTCCTCTCTTTGTAATGGGCTCCTGTCTTCTCTCTGCAGGCAGCTCACCTCCAGCAACGTGTCCTGAACCCACTGTCAGCCCTGCTGTCCTTGTTCCCAGGACCGCAGAAGCTCATCCAGAAGCGCTATGACAAACTGCTGGATTACAACAGCTACTCGCAGCGGTCTGGGAGAGCCGAGTCAGACCTGGCCAAAAGGGAATACGAGGCCCTCAATGCCCAGCTCTTGGAGGAGCTGCAGGCTTTCAACCAGGCAGCTCGGACAATTCTGATGAACAGCCTGTGCAGCTTTGTCAGCCTCGTCAAGGACCTGATGCTCGCGGCCCAGCAGGATTACACCACCATCTTGCCAGTGAGCACACACGGTGGCCTTGGCTACCTGGCCAGGTCTTCTGGAGACCACAGTGCTCAGGGCCAGGCCTGGGTGGAGGGTGCGCAGTGTGGCCTGTATGCGTGTGTCATTTCAGTAGTCACATGGTCCTCTGCTCCAGGACCCCAGTTTGAGTTGTAGAACTTTGAAAGGTACCTTCAGTTTCTGTTTTAACGTAGGTAAAAATCTCTCACATTGCAGTCCATAGACCAGGAGTAGAGATTCTTTATTTTTGAGAACTCACTAATGTACTGTAGTTGAAAAGTGCTTTGAAGAAGTTTAGCTTCACTGACATGACTTCATTCTATATTTTATATGTGCTGTATGTAGTTAAACTTTTGGTCTTAAGATACTGCAGCTATACATTCACATGCAGTTATAGAAGTAACACAGCCCCTGGACACCCTCCACAGTTTTCCCAGAGGTAACATGTTGCAGAAAGAAGAAACAAATAAATAATTTTCAATGAGCAAAAAGAAACCAGGAGTATAAATGAAACAAAGTAGCAATGTCCTAGTATTTTTGAAACAGTAACTTCGTACTATAACTTCAAATCTGGGATTGTGATGCCTCCTGTTTGCTTTTGTTACCGGAGATTACTTTTGTTATTCTAGGTCTCTTCTGGTTCCACATGAATTTGGGGATTATTTTCTTTAGATCTATGAGAAATGCTGTCAGTATTTTAATGGAGATTGCATTAAATCTGTATGTCAGTTCTGCAAGTATAACCATTTTGATTACATTGGTTCTGCCTATACAGGAATAGGAGATATCTTTCATTTTTTCATGTGCTCTTTGATTTTCTTTTTCAGAGTTATATAACTTTCACTATAGAGGTCCTTTACCCGCTTTGTTAGGTTGATTCCTGAGTAATTTTTCTTGATGCTGTTGTGAATGGTACTGCTTTCCTAATTTCTTTCTCATTGAATTCATTAGTGCTAGGAATGCTACTGATTTTTTTTCTGTTGATTTTGTATCCTGCTACATTGCTAGATTTGGTTATTAATTCTAGGAGTCTTTTGATGTGATTTTTTGGTCTTGTAAATCAAGAATCATGTCTTCTGCAAATAATGATACTTTGAGTCCTTTCCAAACATAGCCCTTTTATATCTTTCTCTTGTCTGATTGCTCTGGCCAATGTTTCAAGGAGTGCATTGAGCAGGAATGGAATATTGGGCATCCTTGTCATGTTACTGATTTTAGAGGGAAAGATTTCAGTTTTTCCCCAATTAAAATGATATTGGCAATAGTTTGGCAATAAATAGCTTTTATTAGATTGAGGTAAAGTTCTTCCATACCTATTTTCTTCAGGGTATTTATCATGAGTGGACACTGAATTTTGTCAAATGCATTTTCCAGGTCTATTGAGCTGATCATGTGACCTTTGTCCTTGCTTCTGTTTATGTAATAGATTACATTTATTGATTTGCATATGTTGAACCATCCTTGCATCCCTGGGATGAAGGCTATTGGTCATGGTATATGATCTTTGTGATGCTTTGATGCCTTCTGTTTACCTGTATCATGTGAGGATTTTTGCATCTATGTTCATCATAGAAATTGGCCTGTAGGTCTCTTTTTTTGGTTGGATCCTTGTCTGGTTTTGAGATCATTGTAATGGTAGCATCTAAGAATGCTTTTGGGAATACTACTTTGCTCTTGATTTTCTTAGAGTTTGAGAAGCATTGGTATTAGATCTTCCCTGTAGTTCTTATAGAATTTGGCAGTGAATCTATCAGGTCCTGGGCTTTTCTTAGTTGTACTAAGAAAGGCTTTTTATTATTGCTTTAATTTCATTGTCAGTAATTAGATTATTTAAGATATGTAAGTTTCTTGGTTCATGTTTGGTAATTCATATGTTTCTAGGAATCCCTCCCTTTCTTCCATCTTTTTTTTTTTTTGCATATATCTTTGCAAATATCTCTTTCAAATCCTGCATTCAGTTATTTTGGAGATAAACCCAACAATGGGATTGCTGGATTATATGATAGTTTTTTCTAATGTTTCATAGAACCCAAAGCTCTGTTTTTAATTTTCATGTTTGTAAGAGTTTTACACGTATTTGATTTAAAGATTTAGGTGGGTTATTTAGATTAATTAGGTTTGATAAAGAAATTGTCCTTTAATCCCTTTATTCAATTTCTCCCTCCTCAGGAACAACTACTTTTCAATTCCTTTAGGTGACTCTTCAGTTTTCAAACTAGACCCTTGTGTTACCATGTTATTAATTTTCAATTTTAGGAATGATATATTCTACTTAGAAAAATGAGGTTTAGTTTCTTTTCTATACTCCCCTAACTAACTAAATATATATATATATACTTTTTATCTCTTCATTACAATGGTATCATAGATTGTGTTCATACTCAATATTTAAAATAGCTATGTATCAGTCATGGTAATGGTAGAAAAAATACCGTAAACTTAAGTTGGGAAATTGGGTATTTAGAAAAAAAATTAATATAATATTTATAAAATATAGAAATAGAAAATAGAAATAGAAAAAATTAATATACTGTTTATAAAAATGAGAATATGGCATAGGGAAACCATTAGACCTGTGCCTCACCCCAAAGTGGGAACTCTAGGTATAATGGGAGAGAAGAAGGTGGTTATAGCCATGCACAGACACAGGTGTGGAGGTGGTGAACATACAGAAGCTCTGAGGCTGTGCTGTGGGGTCCATACGACAGAAAGAAACTTAGGAAGTAAATATCCTTATCTTGTCTTCCTCCCTCATTCTGATTTCCATGGGTTTTCTCATTGAACCCATGTGAAAGCCAGACAGCTGTTGCCACATTTCACTGTCAGACTGCTGGTGCACTGACCAGAGTGAGAAAGGAAGGAGAGTCAATTCAAAGAAGCAGGCTGACATCAGCACACAAAGTGGATGCTGGCTGCCTTGAGCCACACAGAAGAGTACAACGACCTTTTCCTTCATTCACAGCTTCTGTTTCTCTGAAATGAGTAAAACATTTCTCCTTCACCTGTTACTCAGATTTCCTTTGGCTTACTTTATCCGTAGGGTGACTAAATCATGTCTTAAGACTTCTAGATGCACAAGGTATTCTGTCAGTTGTGTCTTCTTGCAGAAATCTCTCCCAGAGCTTTCTGGCCTGCTCCAGTCTGAAGTGATCACCTTTTTATCTGCTAACCAGTGGTCATCCTGAGACCACACTTCATCATCATCATTCTGGGAAATCCTTTCACCTCTTTTCTGTGTGGGATCTTGTTTCTTTACTTCTTTACCCCATGTTGACTTCTTTATAGCTTTATCCCTTTATTTGTGGAGGAGCATATTTTTGAGTTGTTCCCTGAGAAACAAAGATTGGGAATAAATATTTTTGACACTATGAGTATCAGAAAATACTTTCTTTCTTCTACCATCACAATTAATTGATCGTTTGGTTGAGTGTAAAAGTTGTTCTGAGTTTGGAAGTGTTCCATTGTTCTGTTGCATTCTAGCTTCCACAGTTGCTGTTGAGAACTCTAAAATCTATTCTCGTATCTTAATTCTTCATACATAGTTCTCACATCATATCCCTGGAAACTCATAGGATTTTGTTCTTGTTTCCATTGGTGTGAAATTTGAGGTACACTGGGATATTGGACACTTGGTGGGGTTCTTTTGATCTGAAAATATATGTCTTTCACTTTTGAAAGTATGTTTAAATATTTAATTGATAGTTTTTCCCTTTCTTTACTCTTTTTTTTAACCTACTAGGTTGTTCCTGTAATTTTATTATCTTTTCCTTCTAATTTTCTCTTTGTACCACTTTGTTATACTTCCTTGTCCAATTTTTCTACTTTAATTTTTAATCCATCTGTTATTTCTTTTTTTTTCTGTTCCTATCATTTTAATATTCAAGGTTCCTTTTGTTTTCTTAAAATTATGACAAGTTTCTTTTACCTTTATCAGGTTTTCTCATGGTGGAGACATACTTAACTTGTGTAATGTTCTTGTTCACCACTGACAGAGTTGGGGCCTAATTGGCAGCAGTAGGAGCATAGAATAGAAATGAAAACCCTAAGTTTCTCTATTTGTCATTTCGTTCAGGAACCCCTGATGATAGCATCTTTAGCCCTTTCCTGTCAGGCTGGTCAGACTATCCAGAGATAACTCTGAGCTTGGTGCTAGGATGCTGATAGAAAAGTTAGGCAGCTGGGGGTTGGAACAGCTGGGGTTCAAACATGCCCCTCAGTCTTTCAAAATGGTCTTTTTATGTAGTGACCACACTGCAGCTAGACAACTTTCATGATGACTAAAGGTTTCCAGAGTGTCCAAAGAGGAACCAACACAGACTAACTCCTTGGTCTTTTTAGGACTCATCTTGAAAGTCGCATGGCATCATTTCCATCTGTTTAGTTCAACATTTTATTCACTGAGGCTGTCATAAAGTTTGGGGTTTGACTTAGTGGTAGGCTCTGGTTCTATCCCCAGCACTGCAAACAAAACACATCATAATATAACAACCATAAAGATATGCCTAGTTTTGAAAATTAGCACATAGATTCCACCTCTTGCTGAGAAGCATGTCAGAGAAAACTGCTAATTTATTTTAACCCTAGCACAGGTTCTTCATTGGTGCTTATTGTGGTAGATTATTTGCCCTTTTTACTACACCGTCTCCCCTTGTGGGAAGTCTCTATTGCTGTTAACTCCTAAGCCTTTCTTCCAATACTTTATTGCTAATTTTGTCTTTTGTTCTTTTATTTGGCCTTAAAACTTTTAAAAAAATTTCTATCATTTTTGTGTGGTTTCCAGAAACAACAAATTAGACCATCTTTATGGAGAAGTTCTGAAGTTGCCCTGATTTTTCAGTTAGAATTATCTTACATTTTCTCAACTGCGCATCACAACTCTAGTACATTTAATTTCTAACATGGTTGTCTGTTTATCTAAAAAAAATATCATTTTTATCATAGGTGCCTCTGTTGATCTCACACATCTGTGAGATTCAGAACCGAGTCCTAGTAGAAATTCAAAATCTGAACTTTGTAAAGGAGAACAGTGCCACCTTTATTGAGAGGAAACTTAGCTTTGAAAAGAAGAAGCCCATGCAGTCTCAGGTGAGTTTAGCAGCATTCAGGAAAGGGTAAACATTACTACCTATCCAAATTATAGTATACTATTCTTTCTGTCATTCATTCAGTGTCATATCTTATAATGTATCTATGCTTAAAATGTCTGCTGTACTTCTCCCCTTTCTACCGTAAGCTCCATAAAATCGCTAACTTGTGTTTCTGTTTTATACCCAATTTATCCCTAAGTGGCCTAAAATGCTGCTTGATGCAAGGTAGACACTTAGTAAATATTTGTTCAGTAGGATTTTATACGGATAAATCATATGTCCAACCTTCTTATTTTCAAGATAATGCACTCCAGGAGATAAAGCAGTTTTCCCGAAGTCACTAGCGTCAGAGATTGGAAGGGTGTATACCTCTTGACTCCTGCCTAATGTACTATTTCCCAAGAGAAGATATGCATGGGTGCAACTTACCAAGTCAAATATTATTTGTAAAGTGTTAAATATGCAAGGGATTATCTACAAGACAGGAAAGAGTGAAAATGTTCACATTGGAAAGGATTAGAACCTTTGCCTTTAATTCACAGTTGATTTTTGTTCTTTTCTGCAACACTGCCCTCATGTGCTTACTAGAGAATTTTTCATTGAATAACTTGAGTATTTTCTAACAACAGCCTGATGTAAGCCTACACATTGAAATAAATCTAAATCATTGTATAACTTCTACATTAAAGTTTCAGAGAAGAAATATTTACTGACTGAATGAGGATTTTATTAAACATCCATGTAATCCAGAACTTCTTCCTTTCCCCAGCCAGATGTGCCTCCGCAAACTGACACCCACCGCTCCAAACTTCTGTCCACCTACAGCACGGAGGAGCTCTACCAAGCTAAGCGCAAGTGCAATGCTACCCAAGAGCATGACATCAATCTTCTGGAAGGAGAGTTGGTGGCTGTGGTGGAACAGAAGGATCCCCTGGGGAGTACAAGCAGGTGGCTTGTTGATACAGGAAGTAAGTTTTTCCCCAGAGCTACCCCCTATCTTCAGGTGAGGTTTTCCCAGGGGCCTCTGTGTGCTTGTCTGAGTGTACTATTTGTGAAAAGGATACTCAGGATCCTCATTCTTCTTTTTTAAAAATTTCCTCCTCAGATGTAAAAGGATATGTATATTCCTGCTTCCTGAAACCCTACAATCCAGCAAAAGCACAGATGGAGAACAGGCACTGGGATGATGATTTTGACAACATCAGCTTCTTTGTGTCTTCACGGCCAGTGACCGACAGTGTCACGGGCACCCCAGAAGGCAGCATCAGTGACAGCAGCTCGTCGCTGAGTGGCACTTGTGGGAAGTGTGAAACAAATGGCACTGATATTGACAGTTTTCAAGAGGTAGATGAGCAGGTAAGAACTTGAACTTTCATGTAAAATTACTTAGCTCTTTAAACCAGGAAAGAATCTCTAACTGCACTCTATTTTACCCTAAGCCCTGGTGGAGAAGTGCCAGCTTGGACATCAGAGAGACCTGACTCTAGTAGCAGGTACTCTCGGTGGACTGCTTTGCAAAGAACGTAGTTCTCTGAGCCTGTTTCCTTTGAGAAGATGCAGATGACAGTGGTGCCTATCTTGCAGAGGTGATGTGGGTATGGACCAGAGATACTATGCATACGCTAAGTACCCACCACAGAGGAGACAACAGACAACAGCCAGTCACTGTTCGTCCCTGCTGCTGGGTACTTACAGTGAGTGAGGAAGGGCTTTTTACACTGCATGGCACCATTAGAGAAAAGCAATTCAGTACTGAGCAGATTGGGATTAACAAAGCATCTGGGAAATTTGTCTCCAATTCCTCTAAAAGCTGAGCTGTCTAGTAATTGGCTGTTTTTAACACCACACACTGAAACTTTGAAGGTCACCTTTCCCTCACTGCACCAGTGCAAAGGCTACTGGTATGAACAATCCTGTCACAAATTGCAGTTATAATGTAGGATTCATTTCAGTGTATTTAAATATTAATCATCAAATGGCAACCAACAGTTAATTCTCTTATTTTAACTGGCTTTTTTCTTTAATGATTTTTAACTAATCAATTTATTTTTTTTTTGCCTAGGTAATATATTTTTATGAGTTTAATATAATAGAAATTACATAAATAAAAATACTAAAGATACTTACTGACTTCTGCCTCAGTACTACTCTTCAGGGGGCTGGGGATTTAGCTCAGCGGCAAAAGCGCCTGCCTGGCAAGCGCAAGGTCGTGAGTTCAGTTCCCGGTACCGGAGAAAAACCAAAACCAAAAAAAAAAAAAAAAAAAAAAAAAGTCCTACTCTTCAGAGACAGTATTTATATGTATGTTCCTTCAGATTTATTCTACGCATATACAAACATATATGTTTATACAAGTGAGCCTGTAGTGGCTGTATGATTTCTATAATACAGCTGAATTTTTAACCTGCACCCCAAGAACTTAAAGGGTCTACAAATGGGCCTTGGCAGATTCATGAATCTTTCCACTGGATTGGAAAACTGTGTATACATTTGTGGTAGAAGAAGTCCATTGCCCTCAACAGGGTTTTGAAGGGAAATTTTACCTAAAAAGATTAGAAATCACTGCTCTAGAAGACTTCACTTGCTGAGCCATTCTCCCTGTTAAACAGGAAGAGATTGTTGGATAAAGTGATCCAGCATTTTCTAGGATGGTTGTAGTAGATCAGGGATCTTACGGATAAGGTGACAGTACAATTTACCATCTTTCATGGGGCACTTTTATTAGTGAAAGGAAGTGCTTAAGAGAGGAAACATGGTGAGAGATCATCGGAGGGTGCAGTTATCCTACTTCTGTGGGTCTCAGAGTCCCACATAGAAAGCTTGGGCTTCCTCTGGATCTTTTAAAAGTGCTCCTAAGTTATGGCCCACAGCTTTTGTTGAATAATGTACATTCACAACCCAACAGTACTGATTTGCAACAAGGAACTTAATTTTTAAGTTTTTTATTCACTGCTTTTTGCTGAATCGGAGACCATAACCAAAGCAGTCAAATGAATATGACTTCACATCTAATGCACGTTTTTGGATTACTTGGCCTGGCCTGGGTTAGTGTTCTATGGTGCATAACAAATTACTACAAACTTAGTGGCTCAAAATGTTATGAACTTAGTGTCCATGGTCAAGAGTCCAAGCTTGGCTTAGCTGGGCACCCTGCTCAGGGCTTCCCCTGCTGTGATGGTGGTGTGGACTGGGGTGTGCTTCTTTCTGAAACCTGCATTCTCTTCCAAGCTCATAGTTGTTGGCAGAATTCAGCTTCTTCTCCTAGTGGCACGGAGGTCTTGCTGGTACTTATCTGAGAACAGCAACTCTGGGCTGTTTTCAGACCCTAAGCCTGAGACCATATCTCTAGGTCATGTACGGGAGGGTCTTTGCTTCTTCCAGGTCCATGGTGAGCATCACTTTGGCTTCAGATCTCTCTACCTTCTAGTAAGATCTGAACACTCCTTCCTTCAAAGGTTGCTTCTAATTATGCAGTTCTGATGTAAGATGACCTCCCTTTTGACTACCTCAAAGTCAGTTTCTTAGGGAACCTATTAGGCACCGCTGTAAAATCTCTTTATTGTTATCATATAATATAACCTATTCACAGGAGTGAAGTTTCAGCTAATTAACAAATTTCACCAACAGTCAAAGGGATTAGATAGAACATGCTCAACAGGGGTGGGGATTTGGAGTGTGTCCTAGAATCTTGCAGTCCACAGTATTTTGTTCCTTCTTTGGCAAGTAGAATGTTGTCCTTGTTACTTCACAGAGGACCAGGTTTAATAGTGTCAAAAACCCAGTTTTAGAGGGCAGTTCACTATCTCAAAATCAATGCTCTTTTCTACATAAAAATATTAAAAGTATGATTTTTTTGATTAGTAACAAGTTAGTGGTTTTGCTACCAATTTTTCTAAATTCATAGTCCAGTCCTTTATTTACTTACACTTTTCAGTTGCTTATGATGCTGATACCCCTAAATGTCTAATAGGTCATTGTTTAGAAAGTGCTTCAAGAATTTGACAGAATATATCAGTGTATTTTAATAGTCATTATATGAGTTTTAGAGAACTATTTATTGATATGAAATGGTTTTCAAAAATATTCTAAAGTGAAAAACAAATTGCAGAGATTATGCATACTATAATTCTATTTCTATTACAAGTTTAGGTAAGTAAATAGAAAGAAAATAGCAATGAAGGAAGGGAAAGAAGGAAATAAAAGATACTAATAACTGTTGGATGGTTTGGAGTTTTTATCTTTTCTATTTTCTTTTTTTCTTCACTTATCCTTATTTAAAATTATTTCTTCTTCAAAATTATTTGTGCAATAAAAATGTATAATTGCTAAATGACGAACATGAAAGCTTGCTCTAGTACGGTGGGGGAGCAGAGTGGGTATTTTTCATGCCATCTAATAATTTTGGCTTCCTGGACTACAGTGGTATCATACTGTAAAGGCTGGTTTTGTAGCTTTTTAACAAATTTTGGAACAGAAAATTAAAATGTTTTGAACTGTGTTGTTGTTATTGGAGAATGAGGTGGAAATAAATAAAATGAGGTTCAGAGAAGGCAAGTAACGTGGATCACCACAGGAGAGAAAATGAACTGTATAATATATAGAATAAGGAAATCCTGAACACAGAGAAAGAGCTAATGGTAATAAGCAGGGATAATAAATTGGGTAGAAGTCACTAATACAGAATGTTACATTTTTCAAAGCAAATTCTGTTGGAGAACTGGGTTGAATTCACAGAACATGGCATATAAAATGAGCCGGAGGGGGCTGGGGATTTAGCTCAGTGGCACAGCACCTGCCTGGCAAGTGCAAGGTCGTGAGTTCGATTCCTGGTACCGGGAAAAAAAAAAAAAACAGACAAAAAAATAAAATAAAATAAAATGAGCCGGAGCTTTAGTGAGTACAAAAAAGCTACCAATAAGGTATATTTTAGTAAATGCCAAAAAAACCAAAGAGGATTAGATGATTATGGTTCATTTGTTAACATTTTAATTAATTTGTCTAGACTAAAACATACACACTTTTAATGTTAGAAGAATATAACCTAAGACAATTAAAGTATTGCAAATAATGAGATATAGTTTAGCTCCTAAATGCATGACAGATTGAAAACTTGCAAACCTTGGAGAAAATAATAATAATTTAAATAAATTAAAATAAAAATAATTGTAAAAGAGACTAAAAAGAGAGACACAAAAGCCTGATGATAGACTGTAATTTTTAAAAGCAGATTTACTTCCATTTTGAGTATATAATATATGCCTCCATTTAACATAAGTTATATAAAAACTGAAAGATTCTCATTCTATATAAATTTTGGACCATGATCACCTAAAGTATTGAAAGAGTATGTTATAATTTTATACTTTACATTTATGATTTTATGAGCATAATATATTTAATGTTTAAAATATAAACTCTACTATAATTTCATACCAAATAGATATAGAGGGAAGATTTTATATTTCCTTTGAGAGAATTTGTGCCAAAGTGAATGACTGCCGCAAATACTTACAAATGGTATATTGGTCGCTAATCTACCTTGTTGAGAAATTTATAACTTCAGCGTATAGAAGCATATATATTACTTATAAGAATTACAAAAGATAATAACTGTAAGATTCTTACAGCTATTTCAGGAGGTGTATTATAGCACATCACAATCCTAGACACTTTTGTAAACCAAATTCTCCATTCCACTATTGCAGATCTAATCAGTATTTTCACTTTCAAACAGTAACACAAAAATAGCAACATCATATGAGAGATTCTAGTCCCTTTTCACAAGAAAACACTGTGCATATATGTATTAGAATAAGAATTTGGTTCCTACGGCATTATGAGAAGTGGGCTGAGAACAGGATTGGAGTTAGAAGATATGGGTCCTAGCAGCACCAGTTAGCTCCATGACTAAGGGTATGTATATTTCTTCTCCCAGTTCCCACTCACGGGGTTGTTGAGGGTAAGCGCATGTGACAGGGAAGGTATCTTGAGTTCTATGAAAAGGTGTTTATTATCACTGCCATGGCATCACTGAAACTTATTTAGAATGAGAACTTAAAGCACATTCCTTTCTGTTTTCTTCTTGACATTTATTACAAAATAACCCATGTCCTTGTACATGTCTTATATGATACAAGCCGGTTTCCTGCATAATATCTAACCCTGAAAGCCTATCTCAGGTCCAAATCAGTCAGTATTTGAATTCCTACTGTGCAGCATGATGTGGTCAGTGAAAAAAAGTTTAAAAGTGTGTTTAGTGGATTCAGGCTGCTGTAACAATATACCATAAACTGGGTGGCTATTAAGCAATAGAAGTTTCTTCCAGATGTGGAGGCTGCAGGTCACTGGTATTTTGCGTGTCTGGTGAGTGTCATAGATGGTGCCTTCTTGCTAGGGTCTCACCCGGTGGAAGGGATGAGTGTTCGCTCTTGGGCCTGTCTATGAAGGAATTATCCCGTCTATGGAGGATCTGACCTGAAGACCCCATTACCTCCCAAAGGCCCTACCCTCGATACTGTTACCTTAGGGGTTAGGATTTCCACCCATAAGTGCTGTGGAGAAGAAATCATTCAGGCCATTGCACTACAGGTCCTCTTCTCGAGGAATAGCTTATGCTAATTGCTAAGACAATATGCCAGCCAGTGGAATCAGAATTTTATCAAGGATTAAATAACAGTTTGAGATTTAAATAAGAACTTAAATATAACATTGTCCCCGCCCCACACTACCCAGTCTCTTTTCCTGTTCAGTGAAGTCATTGTGTTTCCCATAGTTCCCTTAAACTATTGGTCCTCAAATTTGAAAGCTAATCTGTCTTTTCCTATATATTTTCATGTTATCACCTCTGTGCTTTTGAATATGACATATCTGCCTTCTTGTCAATTTTGTCCTTTATGAAGGTTACTCCTTTCAAAACCCAGCTCATGATTAGCTAATAAGGCATCCACATGTGGAAGTTTTGTTATTGGTGGTGGTGGTACTGTGTTTTGTTTTGTTGACATTTATTACTTTCCTGAGTTGAAATTTCCCTGGTAAAATCATAACTGGCTTCATAATATCTGGTACCTCATAAAGTTTGATTAAATGAGTATATAATTGTTGATAGCTAATTAAGTACTTTCATACCTACAACTGGACATTTTTATCATCAGTCTTGTGATCTTACTGAAAGATGGATTAAAGACTTATTTTAGGGATTCTGTGTACCTAAAAGTTAAAGTATTTTTTTGAAGTTACAGAAAAATTCCTTTAATTGAAATGTTTTATTACTTTCTTCTGAGTCATTTCAAATAATTGTGAATTATACATTTAATATATCATTATAAAATTTGGAAAGTAAAAGAGCAAAGAAGCAACAATAAAAAGTCACCTATCATTTCACCAAAGACATTAGCTAGCATTTTACAAATATATTGTTCATCTAATTTTATACTTTTTTGCTTACTACTTCATCATAAATATTTTCCAAATTATTATTATCAGAAACACCATTTTTAATGGCTGCAATTTGGTGTGAGGGTCTAGAATTTATTCCCCTCTTTTGTTAAATCTTTAGTATTTCCCACACCCCTCCCAGTTTTCACCTTACATGTAGATATTATCATAAACTGTTGTACAAAATATGTGCTAGTGTTTCTATTTTAGTAGTAGAGATTCTCAGAGATGCTGATTCAGAAGGAATTAACGTTAAAATATCTTAATAGAAACTGCCAAATTGCCTTTAAGCGTGGACAATTTAAATTCCTTCCACGAGAATAAGAATGCCTGTTCCATTTCATAATTATCTGGGTCATATTTTGCAAAATAAATCTAACAGAAAGAGTTTCACAGGGTGACTTTGAGAAAATAAACTTTGGCATTGCTTCCGAATGCTTGGAAACCTTTACTGTGTTTCTCTGAACTTTTGGTTCTGTTCCAATAATGTCATTTGCTTTTTTTGTCTAGATTTTCTATGCAGTTCATGCTTTTCAAGCACGAAGTACCTATGAACTGAGCCTTCAGGAATACCAAAGAGTCCATATTCTTAGATTCTGTGACCTCAGCGGCAACAAAGAGTGGTGGCTAGCTGAAGCTCAAGGGCAGAAAGGGTACGTGCCCGCTAACTACCTAGGGAAGATGACTTACGCTTAGGATAAAACCTTCACCTTCGTTTCCTGGCAAAGTGCAGACTGACTACCTCACAGAACTGACATTCTGAAACTTCTGACCAAAAATCGTGAAACTTCGAAACTACATGAAGTGATACCATAATCGGGGTTGAAGGAACATCATCCTACATAAAGGATTATTTCACAAATATATTACAAGTGCTAAGCCAACGGAAACAGCAAAGTGAACAGTGTAGGTCCCAACTAGGAACGGCTTAAAAGTGGACATCTTTTGAAAGGGTTGATGTTCTTTTATTTTCATAAAAGGCTGGGTCTAAGAATAAGGTTTTTCAATTTACTATAAAACTTTTTTCTTACTAGATTGCTTTTGTGTTTCATACTTCTCACTTGCATATAAACATGTTTAAATATACGTGTTATGCAGTTTATATTTAAGTGCATTATATTGCTCATACCATTACATCTTTATACCAGAGCATGTACTAAATACACATAAGAATAGGGATTAGTTAACAGTGAACTAGAAGTCTTTGACATGGCTTCTTTAAAATAAGTTATGAACTAAAGGAAAAAACTGAGTAATGTGACAATATCTAACACTGACTGAATGGATGCTATATGATAGACACTGCTTTAAATGCTTTATATGTGTGGTAGTAACATATTTAATGCAACCCACAGCCCACACAGGTGGAGTAATTGTATTCAAGTCACACTGCTAATAAGTGGTAAGGCTGGGTACCTCAAACCTACGTACTCTGTTTAGTGGGTCCACGCTCCTAAGCATGGCATTGTGCTCCTCCAAGGCTGCACACGCTTGTAATCTACCAAGCACTTGATGGTAAGAATCACGACCTGAAAAGGACCCATCATTATCCTTTCATGCCCGTCTTTAAGTATTTAGGCGTTTTGCAAACTTAAGGGCTATAAAGACTTCCATTTTAGCCTAGGAAAAAACAAGTTTTTAGGTTTATTATTTCTATTTTTATTGTTTTGCTTAAACATTTTGAAAGTATAATTGTTTAAGAATATGTTGCATGATTGTTAATGACACTTTAATGAGGAAATATTTTTGGATCACTCAGTCATTGGGATGATGAGTTGGGAGTGTGTGTTCTGTGTTCTGAGCCAAGATGTATGTATTTTCAGTTGCTGATTTGTACTTAGAGAAGGCAGGCATTCAGGATAACATCTGCTATCACACTATGTCCAGGGACATGGAACTTTAATTTCAGGCATATTTTCTCAAGATACTTTATCAAACTAAAGATTGTTTCCTGCCACAGAAAAAATTAAATTACAGCTGACAGCAGTGGGTTCTTTTCAAAATTAAATTAAGGTGGACTTTCACTGTCCACATAATGTGCTAATATGGCATTAAATTTTAAGATTTATTACTCTATTTGATCCCTATAACGGGTAACATTACATGTATTACTGAGAAAAACATACACAAAATGAAGAGTGCTACTTTTCAGAGTAGCTGACTTTAACACACACAGACACACAAATACAATCACAGAAATTCAGAAGATATTTACATAACAGGAAAAAATGCACTTTATGATGTTGTTCCTAAGATCATTAATCTAAAATAGCTTTATAAAATTTTACTAAGCTATATAAAAAAGAATTGAGCTGTGTTATGTACATGTACCAGCTTCTCATGAGGAATGTAATCATTGTGTAGCACAAACATGTACTGATAAAAAGCAAAAACTGGGAAAAAGTAAAAATTTTAAGTCATTTTTGTGTGAAACATTTTCCTGCTTTGAGTTAGGCACTAAAGAAAGAGTTTCTCTCTTCTTTAGATATACATAGACTTTTATGTCTTTTCACTATTCTTTGTATTAAATTTGAAAATTTAAGTCTGGTTTGCCCAGGGTCAAGCAAAAAGTAATCCAAACTTACTACCTGTGGAAACTATGAACATGCTCAAAGATCAAAACAACACAGAGTGGAAAAAAATCTATCTATATATCTATATCCATTTATTTATCTATATCTATCTATCATCTATCATCTATCTATCTATCAATCACCATCTATCTATCTATATATCTATGTCACAATACTCCCCACAAAAGTGAACAGTTACCTAAATAGCACAGCCCTGGTTTTCCGGCTGACTGGATGTACATAGGCTTTGCCCACCGGGTGGCCCCGAGGACTGACACTTCCTGTCTAGCCTTTGAAGGGTCTGCTCCACCAGAGTCACAGCTGCCATCGCCGCTGAGCAAGAGCTGTAATGAAGCCGCCAACTGCTGTTTCCACTACTGTGACAAACGCCTATGACTGCGTAGGTTTTGCAGGATTATACAAGATCCCCATTTTCTAAATATTTTGCTTAAAAGTCAAGGAAATGATAATTTTGAGGACCAATATTACTTTATTGGCCTCAGGGGAAATAAACTTCCAAAACAGTTATGAGACGTATATATCTTTAAGAAATTTAATAGACAAAACTTTTGGTGGCATCAATATAATTAAGGGGAAAGGGTGCTAATTATTTTATGTCCCTTTAAAAGATGTACAAAATAGGCTCCTCTGAAGTGTTTTTTTGTTTGTTTATTTGTTTTACCAAGAATGAAGGAGAAATTATATAGCTGGCTTTTTTTAAACAAATAAGCATATGTATACATTTTGTTTAGCCTTACTCTGAGATCCTCTAAGCTAATGGTATACATAAGAAAGTTTAGAAAGTATAGAAACTAATGCAGTTATTCAATATTACCTTGGATGCTAAAATTGTATGAAAAAGGCAGAAAGCCAGAACATTCTGTGTATGTCAGGAAGATACTGTGAATGTGAAGTTGAGTCTTGCAATGAGATATATATAATACATGTTTTTAATCAGAACAATGAAGCTCTGTGACCTACTTTCAGTGCTGGAATATTCCATGCCAGCCTAAAATGTAACTTGGAATTTTAGAGATATCTATTTGATGAATGTAACTTGGGTGATTTACAAAAAATAATACTACTACAACGTGGAATTAACAACTTCATTTTCCCCACTAGCTTCTTGGATTTTTGTCCATTACAAAAACTTCTCAAAGCCATATGAATAAAACAAGAAAATTTTTATATTCTAAGATGGCACAAACTCCAAATTTATTTAAACTCTATTTATAATAACTGCAGCTTTCTAATGTACTCATTATATTGCAAAACACTGAAAATATCTGGAACTCACAAAACTCAAGCTAAATAACACATATAAATTTGTATTACAGTGGAAGAAGAAATTAAACTCACTGACTAGAAGGACACGATCTTAGAGATTATTTAGAGAATGCTATTTTTTTTTAAGTCTAATTTTTTACACACCAGCTGTAGGTATAAAGAAGATTGTTTTATTTTCTCAGAAAAATAAGTCATACTTTAGCAAAAACTAGAATGAAAACTTCTTGTTTAAAACTCCAGGAAATACATTCTTAGCAAATTAAATAAAACTTATTTTACTTAAACACTATGGTAAGTGTATTTTTGATTTTTCTCTAATTTCTTACATACTTTTTATAATTATTGTGTTAATAAATTTGTATTGTGGTAAAATGAATTTCCTACATAACCTACGGTTATCATAATGTAATGTATAGTGTTACTAATAAATAGTACTACGACATATTTGGTAAGAGTTGGAATCATTTAACCTTTAAATACAGATGTGTTTTGACTTATGATGGGGTTCTGTTCTGATAAACCTACTTTTAAGTTGAAATCTGCATTGAAAATGCACTCAGTGCAGCTACATTACCACCCATCCTGGCATAGTTACACAGCGCACTGTAGCTAAGGGTTAGTTACGCGCGATCTTGTGGATGACTGGGAGGTATTGGTGCCTCACCTGGAAATGCAGGGCAGCATCACAGGGCATATGGCTGGCCTGGGAAAAGATTTAAAAAGTACACATTCTGCTAACGTGTATCACTTTTGCACCACTGAAACACACAACATGCAGAACAGAGAAAGTGATCCTGACCAAATTTTTTTGTAAAATGGAATGAATATTAAACCCTGAAAGCTTATTTATGTGCACATCTACTTATCTCTGCACTTATTCTCTGAGCCAACAAGTAGTGAAATCTGCAGATGACGATGCTGTGCTCGACAGTTTCTCTCCCTGCATACAACTTAAATTGGAATCGGAGGAATGAAGTGTACGTAACAAAACAAAGAAATGAGAAAACTACTGCTACTTCTCATCACTGCTCAATTTAAAAGTCTGGTAGCTCACTTTGTGATATGGAAAAATCTGAGCTACTTGAAACAAACTCTTAATAACAAATATGCTTCTATAAAAATACCAAGCTACACACATTATTAGATATGTACATAATTACATATAGGTACATATCCTAAATATAGTCATATCCACTGAAAGATAAATTACTTCCTAAAGTCTTTCTGTTAAACTTCCTAAAATTTAATAAAATTAAAATTGCTTACCTTCTCAATTCTATTGAGTACAAATTTTCTACAATGAAATAGAATTTTTCTTTTCAGATGCTGATGTACCAACTGAACTAATCATTACAGATTTAACTTTTTACAAACACTGAGGTTACATGAACTGTTACAGTTTTTTCAGGTGAGCTATTTCAGGTCATCCTGTTCAGTTTTGTCCAAACTGGACTTGAACTATAAATAAACAATAGTGGATTTTATTGTTGCCTTTTTTACCCTAAAGGGCATTTGAAGATTATTCCAAACTGGTATTTTGAGAGACAGAAATCTCTCAAAACAAAAACTTCTGCAGATCTTAAACATATAAGCAAACATTTACTCCACATGTAAATACTGGAATTATCTCAATCTTGGATACTAATATACTATGAATAATTTACAGCAGAGTTTAAAATAATCTTTCCTTAGGAAAAAAAAAAAAGCTTAATTTAAAAGCTTTCACAGAGATCACTTATCAATATATTTTAGGATAACGTTAGACAAGCTCAGAGACTAAGGAACAGGATTGGGATTGGTGGTTTATAGTGAAGATGCTTTAGTGCACACCAAGGCTGATAAAACCATGCTACAACTGTTTTGTAAATATGAGAACTTGTTGTATTTACAGTGTATACAAAGAAATGAGGTATTCATGAAATACTGCATGGCTGCTACACTTTGCTATGTATGATAAACCATTTCTCTGATCTACAAGGCCTCCTGTCTTCCATCAGATATACATATAAAACAATGGCAGGCTGATTTGTTAGCTTGCAAGCCAGCTCTGACCCTTACACTTTCTGCATTAGCCAGCTGTTCTGTCGCTGTAATGAAATCCCTGATGTTGCTAATTTGATAAAGAGGTCTATTTATCTCACAGTCTTGGAGGCTCAAAGTCCAAACAGCATGACGCTGCTTTAACAAGGGTCCCCGGCTGCATCAGCTCCTGGAGGGGACAGACTTGGGCTTGTAACACTGCACCTGTGAAAGCTAACTTGGATCCCACGCAAATGATGTTAATCCTTTATGAGGACAGTGCTTACAATCCAAGCATCTCCCCCTAGGCTCCACCTTCTAAGAGTGCTACCACCCCTTACAGGCACCACACTGAGGACTGAGCTTCCAGCACAGGAAATGCTGGGTGGCAAGCTACCCAAGCCATAAGCATCTCCTGACCGGTAATGGACAAAGCAACCTCAGCCAGTCCTTAAAACAGGAGCTTCTTCTACACAAAGTTATCTAAGATTAGGCAAAACCCTCTAGTATTCAGGGGCAGAAAAACTTGCCTTTTCTTTCATAGTACAGGAAGAAGTCGTGTGGAAAAATATCACAAATTCCGATCCACAAAGACCCTTGGAAATTTTTTTCAGCAATTCTCAGGGATGGGTATCATCAGGATGAATCAAAATCGATTACAAAAATTGATTCTGAAAAGAGGTGAACTAATTGGAGAGGGAGAAGCAATTGAAAAGAGGCTGAGCACTGAGAGTGACACTGAGAATATGGGGCAGGGGTCCACCCCCCAGGTAAGGCACCTTACTCAGCAGGGTCAGCTCTTGGGGCTTTGCTACATGAGCCATGTGATTTATTTAAATGTGTATATGCTCACAACCACCTGACGTTCTCAGGAACTAGGTTCTAATAATTATTTTCACACACTATGGAAAGCATTAAAGACATTTAAAATAAAAGTTTCCATGTCTTGCTAAAAATATTTAACATTTTAAGGTAAGAGATGATAAAGACGGAGTATCAAGATTTTTATTAAATTATGGAACCCAGCAGTCCATGTCCCACAGTAGCCTGGTCCTCTCTGCGGTAACAGGACACACAACCTTATCTGGCCACCTCACTTCTTGAGTTTCTTTTGGGCAGCTTTCTTCTTGACCATCTGTAAGCGCTTCATGGCATTGAGCTGTGACTCCTGAGATGTTGGACCTTTAAGGGATGCTGAGGGACTGCTGCTGGCTTCGGAGGTGGTTTTGCTGGTGGAATTTCCACTAGGCCCTGATGAGCTGCTGTTTCCATTTCCACTCAGCTGGCCACTGCTTCCTGGCACTAAACTAGTGGGACTTGGAAGACCTATTTTGCTGACATTGTCACAACTAACTGAGCGGCTAAGGCCGGTTTTGCCCAGGGTCAGAGGAGGCGGCGGTTTCAGTGGCACGGTGGGTGAAGTGCTGCTGCCAGGACCTATCTTGGATCCCAGTCCACCTTTGGTTGATGTTGCCAGGCCCGTCAAACCCACAGGTTTCTGGCTAGCTGCAGAGGCGGCTGGCTTCCCCCCACTGTTTTGTGCTGTTGAACTCAATTTTGCTGTTGATGGCCCAGCGGAGGACGTTTTGGCGGCAAAAGCTGCCCATCCAGTTAGGCCACTGGTTGCGGAAGAGGAAACACTGGTGCTAGATGAACTTCCTGAAATAACAGCAGATGTCTACCAAGAAAGATAAATATTACATTAAGGTCATGTGTAATCAAACCCTATGGCATGTAATATCTTTTATGTGTAACAAGCTTATTGTTATACTTCTCATATCAAAGTAACACCTTAGAAAATTTAAGCTATGCCACAAACAAAACACAGAGAACAAAACTTTTCTGTAGGTAATGGATGTGTTACCATCTGCAAAGCAGAAATTTTTGAATGCCATACTTTTGTTTGGAATTGCTTTTAGATTCAGTTAGAAGCCATAGCAAAAATTAAAAAATCAGAATTAGAGCTTTAATTTATTTTTTAAAGTTTAACGCAGCTAAGAAAGTATAACCTGGCTAAGAAAGACATCTAATTCATTTAAAAAACTAAATCTACACTTAATGGAGAAAAATGCTCACACCCTAGATAGTCCAAAGATGCCTGGGATAGAGTCAGAAAATAATTAGTGAGTCAATGTGTAAGAAGAACATAAAACATCTACCTACAGATTCTAAAGAATAAACTTTGTTACTTTCACATTAGGCAAGAATCTACTTTGTTCAAATTAATTTTGAATCAAACTACTTACTGACACTATCTTCACAGTAAGAAGTGTCAGTTTCACATGAGGAAAGGCTTATAAAAATAACATTCTACTTTTAAAAATGGTTATGATAGGCTTAAAATATATTCTAGAACTGCACTCTGAAAGTTTCTAAAACAATTTTAGCTTTTACAAAAGGCCTTGAATATTGTGTGCATGTGAACATCTTTAAGCAACAGAAAAGTAATAAGATTACAGCACTCTGGAATTCTTGGGTCTGAATTCAGATTCTATCTAGGTGCTCTAACAAATAATAGGCTTCTTTTTATAATAACATCATATGATAACTATCTTATCAGATTATCCAAACTTTACATAAAACATAATTCCAGGAGAAATGCACGCAGGTAATGAGAAAAAAAGCTAGTCAAGGAAGCAAAAGGATATAAATGCAGCAAATTAATTTTCAGCTTTAAACAATTTACTTTTTCCCCTTTCCTTTCTGTTAAACATAAAACTGCCTGCCAGATGGCTAAATAACTTTTCAACAAACTTCATCAAAGGAAATCCATTTGAAGTAATTAAAAAGGCTAAAACTTATGAAATATAAACAAGAAAGTTGTATATGTTTTGCATTTTATTTTAATGGCTTGCTGTTGCCTGTTATTGCTTTTCAACAAAATGACAAATGGTTTATAGAACTATCCAGAGACATAGAAGTAAAATAGCAAAAATATGGAGACCAACTAATTTCTTATTATTTCAGTGTAGAAAATAAATTTCCCACATATTTTAAACTATAAATTTTTTTTCATTCTAGTTAGAAAGCCATTTCCTTTTCATGTGTAAGTGGAAACAAAGTTTTCTTTTCATATGAAAAATGTATTCATTTTAATCATAAAAACACCAAAACCTCTCAGACAAAATGACAACTGAGACTATATGTGCTATAAATTGACTTCATGCTGGATTTTCTAAAAAGAAACATTAGTAGTAATATGGTTAATACAAAAAAAAAAAAAAAACTACCAAAAATGAGTAAATAAAGAATATGGCAACCCTAGATACATTTCATAAATTACTTTTTCTTACTTCTACTTCAGTTCCTAAGTTTCTATATGACAAGACAGTAATGGATATTGGATACCAACTATTTTCCAATTACCTTAAAAAAATGATCAGCAAACAAAATTATCTGTGTCTTTCTAAGAGTACTATATACTCACACACTTTCCCAGCATAGCAAGGTTCTTGAGCTTGCTATTTACAGCTCTTGAGAAAAGCTGTCATTAGAATTTTCTGGGATCAATCTTGGAGAATTTGGGGCTGATATATTTTTTCTCAATTTTTAGTGCTATGTTTATTGGAACATACAAGTCAGTAACAGTGTCCTTTTTGCTATCAAACTAGATTAGATAAGTATTTTATTGTATGATGTCATAATGCTGAGGTGTTAACAGTAATGCAGTGATGTGAAGGATGCAAACCTGGAATGAGGAAAGTGATGCTCTTGCTGGCTTGTACGGTTCCTTAGTGTAAAAAGTAGGCAGAATGAAATTTCATGACATTAAAGAAAAGAACAAGAGAAAGAAAACTTCTTCAGTAGCCAAGAAGTAAAGAGAAAGAGCATGAAGAGGCCAAGCAGCACAAGCGGCCCGAGGAACACAATTGCTGTCACTGCGGGAAGAGGGGTTCAGAACTTAATGTGAATTCCTGATTAAATAAAGACATGGTTGTGGATGATGGCAGAAGTGCTGTACCTTGACTTCTGTCCTCTTGAACGCTAGGAAGGTGGTCTCTTGTTTGAGCTTTGTTTCCGGTTTCTTAACCAAGGGATCCTTGATGGCTGGGGCTGCGGAGACCACAGCGGGGGCTGGCTTCTGCTGGGGCTTCTGAGTTTTCTGAGCCTGTAAAGGTCAGTGAACAAATTAGATACAAAATCTTTACTGTACAAGAAATATAATAAAAATTTATCATAGGGCCAGCTGTAGAATGGAAGTAGAGATGAAAATTTTAAAAAATAGAGACCGCTTGTCATAGTATTAATAGTTTTATAGATTTCATTAGTTTCTCAACAGTAATGATAATAGTAAGCATTAGAAATCATGCAGATTAGGGGTGGTTAAATACCATTTTAACAAGATAAACATAATTGTTTTTAATGGAAAGTCTCAAGCTATACTTCAGCTTCCCTTGGTGCAAGGCTCTGGCCTACCACCCTCCACCCCAACCCCATTCCAAAATCTGTGGCTGCTTAAAGCCCTTATAGAAAACGGTACAGTATTTGCATATAACCTACACATGCCTCTGTAAGCTTTACATCATTTCTATATTATACCAAATATGGTGTAAATCTATGTAACAACATGCTGTGTTGTTTGGGAAATAATGACCAAGAAAAAAATGTGTATGTTGACTGCCAATGCAATTTTCTCCTCTTCAATCTACAGTTGGCTTAATCCACAGACACTGAACCTATGCACACGACAGGCCAACTGTGTGTCAGCTGGGCCCCTGAGCTTTCCTCACTATGAAGCACATTTCACATGTCTCATTAGAGCGAACCAAACACTTCCTTCTCAGGGCCCAGGCAAAAATCTCTGGTTACTGCAAGTGAGTTAAAAACAGGTGAGGTAATTTATAAGGTTTTAAATACAGAAATAGAAAGGGGAAAACACCGATAAATAGTGAACCTTTTTGAAGTTTTCCCACACTGCATAGCTAAACCAAGTCCTTAGAGGAAGTTCATAAATACAAATTTCTGTTATCAAGGAAGAGTTTCATCCATTCTTCCTTTACCAAAACAAAAACTACAGTTGTACTCTGATGAATAATTGATTTTTTCCATTATCTTTTAACCAAATATATTCTCTTATGAACTCTAGTCATTTTTCAGTTTAGTTTTTTAGCACTTTACAGGTGGAGAATAAAAGCTGCATACATAGTATGAAGCAGTATTTGTGAACATTTTTTGGACTCACTAGAACTAAGATTAAAGCCTGACTCACCTACTATCCCAGCTACGCCACCCTGCACAAAGATATATACTTCTCAAAGCCTTACTCCCTTCACCTACAGAACGGCGCTGGCACCATCTGTCTAAACAGTGGGTCCTGGGCACGAGCTGCAATCATGTAAGAGTTTAGCACAGGTCTGGCACATGCCGACTGCTGGGAACAGCAGTTACCATTTAGTCCTCATCATTACTTGCAAAGGATGAGGAAACAGAATGTAGAAGCAGCTCTCTACCCTCCTGGCAGCTGTCCCACAGTCATTAGCAATCTTCATAGATCCACACAGTGCTACACTGGGAGCTTACAGACTGGCCTGAGTGTTGATTTCTGGTACTAATCTACATCTCGTCTTGGTTCATAGTAAGAACAACGGAATTAGAAAGAGACCTGTCCTGAGCTCTGCTCTGACCCTATGCCAAGGAATGAGACCCGGCCATCCTGTCAAATGAATTAAACATTTAATAGGCAAAGCAGCTAAAGACTAACTACTCTAGATGAGAAAGAAATGCTTGGACACAGAAGAGAACATTCACAGCATGTATAGTTTGGGGTCATACAGTGTGGGGGTATATGTTGAAGCACTGGGATAGAGAGGCAGTAGGTCAAAAAGAGAGGAGCCATCCACATCGGCACCCCAAGGAGTCTGACCTCACTACATAAGTAACTGAGAGCCCCTCAGAATACTGAAGGAGATGAAGTGTCTTTTAGGTGAGTAATTCTAAATGTGCTTGAAAAGAAGTAAAGAAACAACTCCCCCTTTCCTCCTCCTCCTCCCCACCACCTTTCTTCTTCCCGTTCTTCTTTCTCAGTACTAGGAGTTAATCCCAGCTTTTATCCCAAGATTGATCTCCAGCCCATTTTATTTTTTATTTTTGAGACAGGCTCTCACTACAGTAAATTGCTAGATTTCCCAGGCTGGGCTTGAACTTGCAATTCTCCTGCTTATTACAAGCAGGAGCAGAGGAGGACAGACAGGTGAACAGAGAGGAATGCATATAAGATGGTTTGGTCTTTTGGCATAAAAACATAAATCATACATGCATACTATATACACAAACATTTAAACAGTAAGCTTAAATTATTTGCTTTTTCAAAGTGTTAATGTCCAAATATTTATCTTAGAAGCACTGTATCAATAAAAAAGCACCAAAGACGAATTAAAACAGAGCAAACTGTGATTCCCACCATTCTCTTCATCTGCCGGGTGCACCGGGCGCAATACCACACCAGCCGAGGGTCATTCACTTCCTTGTCCGTCACCTGAGGCTTGTGGCAGTCCTGGTGGTAGAGATTATGGCACTCCTGACATTCCACTAACTGATTACCCGATGCCACCGTCATCTGTCTAAGAAAAACGTCCCATTAAATATTACATATTCTTAGATAAAACAATTCAAAGTTATTGCGGGGTTGTTCTGGCAAAGCTCTGTATAATAAAAGTAAAAAGAAAACCAGAAAACCAAGAAAATAGTGAACCTCAACACAAATCCAGCATGAGCGCTTCATGTCTCTGATGCTTATGCTCAGCCATAGATACATCCGATGTCCACAGCTGAGCTGTATTTTTGGACTTTTTCTTCCTCTCAGAAGGCAGACCTTGACTCTCCCTTGATGGCCTCGGGACACTTTTCTACTATCTCTGTTACACTTCTCATGTCAGGCAGCTGCATGCTGTTCTCTCTTTATTAGCAAGGAGTTATTTGAAGATGGGTCTCAGCCTAACTATCCACAGGGCCTAGGATATGGCTCTGCAGACACAGGGTGTTTGACTCATGTCTCATCAGCTGACCAGAATGCAGAAATACAGCTATCAGGAAGATGGAAGTTCTGATAGCACAAAAAGCAATCTCCACAGTCTTAGATTATCATACTAAGGCTTCTGAGGAAGGGCTATACTTACTAGTTCTCTCCCCATTCACATTCTACCATTCATTGATAAATGATAACTTCCATGGTAGATAAAGGTTGAAATAACTGAATACATGCAAAACCCAGGAAGTCCCAACCACTGCCCCTACTCAGAAGCATGACCTGCTCACAGCACACGGACTCTCTTTAGAAGCTCCAAAAAGCCGAGAGTTACTCAGTTTTAGAGAACCAGGACTTAACATTTCTGAGGCAAAGAGCACCAGAGATGGCAATCTTTTTTTTTTAGTCAATGACAACCATTAAAAATTAAAGACTAGCTAGCTCCTGATATGAAGGAGTTTAAAAAGTTATTTCTGATATTAAAACTGTATCTTCTCCTAAGCAGAATTAGCTGTTTTTATAATTATGCCTCTAAATGTTCAAGCATCACTCAGAATAACCCACATTCCTTTCATTTTTACTATCTTTAGGAAAAGATTTAAAATTGTGTTTTAGGAAATATATAAATTAGTTTTAATAAGTGCTATCAAAAATTCAGGAAAAACCAGCAACATATACTTCTTAAAAAGGTGGAAATAAGTCAGTCTGCTGAACAGATTTCTCTGCACTAAGAATAACAATAAACACTGTCCCTCCAGAACCCAAGAATGCAGAAAACACATTAAAGAAGTGGTAGTCAGGGCTGGGGTGCAGCTCAGTGGAAGAGCATTTGCCTTGTGTGAACAAAAACCAACAGCAACCACAACGACACAAAATCTATACCCACGGTCAGGAAGATAAAAAATATTTGACAATTTTCAACATGCTAAACTGTTACATGGGAAGTTCATAAGACATAATCTATTTCTTCCACATGCTTCCAAAATAAAAACAAATTAAGAAAATGCCTCATACTTGCAGTGACTTTTTTGTGGGAGGGAGCTGTGTGCTGTTTTCCAAAGAAACAATAGACCATGTGGCCAGGTATGACTCACCTACAAACAACACAGGCCAATCCCATCTCCATGGCAAAGTCATCGGCGCTTGTTTCCTCGAAGCTGGAAAGGTCAGCAATAGCTAAATCCTTGCTGGTTTGGACAGTGATGGGAGAGGATCGTGTCTCTGGTTTCTCCAATCTAGGTTTCTTTGGAACATCAACTCCTTCAGCAATGTCTGACTTCATCTATAACAAGTAACCAGTCAGAAAAACATAATTAAAAGGGACACAGCAGAACAAATTATAAATCACCACGGGAAAGGGCAGACAGTGTGCAATGACCAAGAATACTTACAGGTATTTTCACAAGAGTTTGAGACAGATGTACACACTGAAGATCCATAGGACAACTGTATTTCATTTATAGTCAGTATGTTAAACAAAAAAACTAGCAAGATAGCAATAAATGAATCAGAGCAGCTTAGTATATAGTTATATTTCTCTTTGTACTCTTCTACCTACTAAGGAATTTTCAGAAGTTCAATGAATTTTCTTATACTGACTTTTTTTTTTTCCTAACAAGATGCTTTAACTTGAGGAATCCTAGCATTAATACAGTTTTTTTTTTTTTTAAATATTTCAAATAATGAACTGCCATTTAAAATGTACTGAAAACAAGTAATAACGAGTTCTCTACCAGTCATCCAGAATCAATACATTGCCATATTTTCTTCCAAACTGATTCTGGCTTCTTTAAATTGTAAGTATTCTAAATAAACCTGTTAGATTGGCAAAAATTAAATTCTGACAAGACTTGGAGGATTTGCAATTCTTATATGGTACTTTGTCAGTAAGAATATACACTGAATATCTCTGCTCTGAATAGCAACTTAGCAAAGCCCAGGAATGTAGATGTACACACCCTATTATATGCACTTACAGGTATACAGCTTACAGAAATTATTAACATGTCCACAAAAAGATATGCATAAAGCATCTCAGATATAGAGAAGCTCACTGAAGCGCTATCGTAGTAAGACAAAGGAGAAATAACCCAACTGCTCATCAGGAGGGGGACATATAAACTGATATATTCATAGGATGAATATTACATAGTTGCTAAAGTAAATATTTAGATCCACAGGCATCAACATAGATTTCAAAAGCACATTGTTAAGTAGAGAAACAGTTACCAAAGGACATAAATAGATAGCAGGATACCATTTGTGTACGTTTAAAAGCACAAAAATAATATTCAGTAGTTTATGAAAAGCTGTTACTTAGCAAAAGGAAGGAATACATGGGTTAATATATCCCACCTTTACAGTAAGGGTCATTAAAGATATTTTTAATGTACTTTTTATTAATTGCTAAAATCTTAATTAATATTTGCAGAAATCAACCAAAATATATAATCCAAGAATTATCTGTGGCTCCGTTAAGGTCCTTCCCTTCAAGAACCAAGTTCACATTTAGTCATTTACATGTTTTCTCTTTCTTTCTTTTTTTTGAGACAAGGTCTTGCTATGTAGTTTATGTTGGCCTTGAACTCACACGGATACCAGGCTGGCCTCAAACTTGCAGTGATCCTCCTGTCTCAGCCTCCTCAGTGCTGGGATCACAGGTGTGCGCTACCATGAACAGGTGTTCTCTGTTTTTATTTTTTTGGTTTTATATCCTTCCACATTTTATCTTTACTTCTCAATAACCATCCCAACAAGAATCTCTGAGGTATAGATTAAAATATACATTTGAAATTATTATATACAAAGGGCTCAAATATTTGATAATGCTTCAGTAAATCGTTAATAAAAGTTTCTTTTACTCACTTTTCAAAAAGTCAACATCTATGGCTATTAAAATATATTTTCTGAGTGATTATTATTGTACTTATACCTATCATATAAAAGAAATACACATAGAACATGGTTCCTTTCTGTCCATAGAACAACAGACTTGCTTCTTCATAAACTAAGTTAGAATAAAATGTTACTTTATCAGCAGGCCTCTTCTCAGCCTCTTTCTTGGCCTTTTCAGTTGAAAGGACTTTGCCATTGTTATTGCCAGGAAGAAGAGTGGATGATGTTTTGGGCTCTTGCTTAATAGAAATAGATTTTGTGCTTGAAATTTTGGGTGGTTCCACATCCTAAAAATTAAAATAAAAAGATACCAGTAATTACTCAGACAGTCTACCAAATGAAAAAAGAATACATACTAAATTTAAACAATTTTAAGCTGAAAAGGAAGATACCACGTTATGGCCAGTGTAGCATACTTTTTGATATGGCTGTACTGAGAGGTAACTGGTACATAACTGTGCCTATGTAAAGTGCAGAACCTGTAAGTTTTAACACAATATTGCCCCTGCTACAATATGTGGGGTGCATCCAGCACAGACTTCCTGTGGCCCTGGCATGGGGTCTGGGACTGGACGCTGTCATGAGCTTCTGGTTAGGACTAGAACTCATCAGACTATCTCTCTCCTGCTTCTCAGCTGGGTGCCCAGGTCCCCAGACCAGGGTGACTTGGAGTTTCAGGGCCAGAGCTTTAGAAGGGTTGGGAAGAAAATCTTAATAGGTGTTACAGACAACACAATACACACTGTCATAGGCCTATTATGTTAGGTAGACAACTACGCCAGCTTTATATACTGTAATACTGTATCTACAAAATACTTATTATTCTTAATAAATAATAAAATAAAAACAGGTAGGTGTTTCTTTATTGTAAAAGGATGAAAAGAAAAAAATACGTGTATCAAAGAGTCATTATCACTTGAAATTAATGATACACATAAACCACTTGGAAAAGTGCACAGCATACAGAAAATGTTCATAATACATTATCTATCATCATCGTTGACTCCAAGAGGTAGGCTGGGATTTTAAAAAGGTTTCACATTGCAAAACATAATTCTTACCACACAAAGCTGCCCGCCCTTAGCTAAGGTGTTATTATCAGGACTGGAGCTACACAGTTCTAATTCACCCAAACCTCCTTTTCCCTTAAGTTATCCTACCAATATTTAATCTACTTTGTTGAAAAGTCGCTTTACTTTATTATTTTTTGCCCTCAAAGCATTAGAGGATAATTCAGGTGTGGTTACATGCAATAGTTTTAAAAAGTGCTGACCATAAATAGACAGAAATTGAAGTAAATCATAAAGAAGATAATTTTTATACAGATCAAGAAGTAAAATAGAATATCCCCTGGCCAAACTAACTGTTCTGTGTGGTGTAACAGTTCTCTGAAAGCTTTTCTGGAAGCAAATGAAAGAATATAATACTTTTGTGGCACAGGAAAGAATTATCACTGGCTACTACTGCAAAACTGTCTCCAAGATTTTCCTTTGTGCAGGTACCTTTTGAGTTGGACGGTAACTTGAATCACTCCCCCGAGCCAAAGATTCATCAAGCAATGCTTTTAGCTTTTCAGCAGAATCTTTACTCTTTGAATGTAAGAAACCCAGTGCCTTCAAAAAAATGGGATCGAGTTCCAAGTTCACAGTTGCAGCCATTGTAAATACCTGGGAGAAAAATAAAATGAGAAAGAAATAATTTAGAGACAATATGCAATTATTTATGTCATCGATTTATCTATTTTGTTCTTTTGTTTATACAGTGACAGAAATGCACAATATAAAACTTAAAATGTCCAAAAAGTTATTACAGACTAAAAGGAAACTTCTTTCTCATCTCTATCTGTCATAATCTAATTTTCTTTTTTCCCCTCCTGAAGCCACCAGCATTGTCAGTTTTCTGTGTGCCTACATGGGAGGCAAAGTTTTTGATGCAGATAAGGTCTCCCTGTTGCTCCTCGCTAGCTGTTCTTAAAGATGTGTGCAGTTCTGGCACACTGAACGTGATGTTGCTTAGGTCAAGTTTCCTATACACCGAAACTTCTTTTAAATCTTCTTTCCGACACAAAGGCATGATTTAGTGTGCTTGTGAATGCGTTGTTGCGGGGGTCACCCAAGGGTAAGGGTTCAAAGGTGCATGAAGTGACTGCTATGCAGTCACGCTGCAGCTCTGCCTTCTACCCTTTCTCTTCCTCCTCAGTCCTCTGCCCCAATTGTGAATGGCTCAGAAAATATATTCAAGATAACCTTATCACATCACAGTTAAATTGCAGCTCCTCATGCATTAACCTATTTTAAAAAGCAAAGGCTCTCATGGCTGGCTCCACATACCCTACAAATATCCCATAGGGCCCACAGAGCTCTGTGTCCCAGGAGCTTAATGTATAACTGAGGCAACTGGAGATAGACATCAAAGGTTTTTGAAATTCTACAACATTAAAAAGTTTTGTTTTCAGTTAACACCAATGCTATCAGGTGGCTCTACTGGTTATCACTTTTTCAAATGCTTCTCCAGGCAAGGAATTACTAACATAAAAAATGTATTCTTTGTATTGAGCCCTTTGATCAATATATTACTATTTGAAATCCTCTTCTATGCTCGAGGTTAATATTATAATAAGGCAACACACTTGCACTGGTACAGTTAAGGATCTATCAGCAATTCCACAGTAATCTTGTACTTCCAAGGCTTATAATTAAAACTTGCTCTAGGTTGAATCTTGGCATGTGAAGGTGCAGGCTGAAAATGGATTGTTTATTCCCTCCCCTCTCATCCCTTTCCAAATAAGACAGGACACACACACACACCCCTAGGCTTATTTTAAGTTTCCAAGAAGGTATTAATTATCTATTTGATAACCTCAAAATTATTGTCAAATTCTGTTTTTTCTTAAAACACGAATTTCTCAGAGTATCATCTACTTTTGTGGTTTTTTCCTTTATTCCTTCTGTTTATACTGCAATTCCTCGGCCTTTGTACCACTATTCCATGAAAATGCTCTCTCAAAGGCAAGTCAGTCTCACACAAATCTAATAAATACTATTTTCACCTTCTACTTCTTTCCCAGTTTTCTTTGTAGGCTGCTTCTATTCCAATAAAACGAGACTGTCAAGGGTAGAATCAGGTCTTTTCTAGTCTCACCCTACAGCCCCTCCTATAACAGTCTTTCCGACCAGCAGCACAGCACCCCTGGGAACAGTGAGCGGGTGGCCACTGAGTCTCCCTCCACAGCCCTTCTGCAGGAAACTCGGAGCGGGCCCCAAAATCTGTGTTAAGCCACCAGGCAATTCTGATCTGCTCTATAGTTTAAGACCTACTGCCCTAAACGATGTGATCTAGTTTTTTTTAATTTATTTTATTTTAAAAAGAGAAAAACAAAATAAAAAGACAAAACGAAAACAACACAGAAACAAAAACGATACAAGATCTCAAAACAAGATGATAGGAATTAACAATGGTAGTCATATTACATATTGTTATCTTCAAAGAAGTTGCTCAGATTACCAGATGTAAGAATGCAAGATTGATCAAACCATTGAAGAGAATAATTTGCCAGAGATAAATTTATCTCTGCAGCCCAGGTTTCTCTTCCAAGATCTGCCTGAGAGACTGGCCTATGTCACTGGGGCCACGTATGGAAGAAGGAATATGTCCCTCACACAGCCATCCATATTCTCCTATGTCCTAGTTAGTTCTAGAAATCCCTTTTTAATGTATTTACCCTACTGCTCCCGCAGAAACCTAGAAGTCAGCTGTAACCTCCTCCCACCCTTTATATTGCAAATCCATGTACCTTTTCTAATCGTTACTTATTCCACTCAAGACCAGGCTATCACCACCTATTATCTGGTCCTCAAAACTACTCGTTCACCTGCCAATTTTTTCCTATCAGTCACTTATCTGAAATACTTTAATCACTTCTCACGGTCTAAATGTTAAACAAAATTCTTACCATGCCTCCAATGCTCTACATAATTTGGTGTTCTGCAAAACACTTTGAACAGTGCTGGCTCAAATGTCCCCTCTAGGATACATCCTGGCCACCTGAATAGTTTCAAGTCCCTGACGTATACGTTTCTTTCTCAGTGCTTTAGTAGCAAAGGTGTTGCACCCGTCTTAGTCACACTTCAACTCACTTAGTCACACTTCAACTTTTTTCTGTACATTTCCTCAACAAAAGAAGTCTTACTGTTACCTGGTCCAAAAGCATATTCACTGGTGGTAATAGGCATCACAGTGTTAATTATAGAAACAATGCTTGTTTTTCTCATTAGAATGTAAATGCCACGAGGGCAGACATTGGATTGCTTTCACTGACTGCTTAACCCACGTTTACCAGAGCGCCTGGCAAGTGGTGGGTACTCAGTAAGTGCAGGCCAACTAAATACACGTTAGGTACTCCCACTTTCAGAAGCCCTGTTCTTTGGGCTCATGTGGGCTGGTTTTCCTCCTGTCTCTGCTCACTCTCTCTCTGCCCATCTTTTCATCTTCGTTGTCTTGGTTTTGCTCAGATCCATCCTTGCCTATCTTCTTTAGTACTTCCACCATTGTTTTCCTTGGTAACATTATACATATTATGTCTTCAACTATGATGTCTACCCAAATGATTTCATATGTGCTCCCCTCTTAGATCAAATCCCATATTTCTAATTGTTTACTAAACATCTCTACTTGGTTGCCCTAGCAGTATCTAAAATTAACTTATAACTAAAACTGAGATAATGACTTTTCCTGAAAAGTGCCTTTTTTCACACTTTATTTCAATAAATAACAAAACTCTCTGTCAATCAGGTCTAAGGCCAAAATGTTTCCCCAACTGAGCCTTTCCCTACTGCTTACATCGAATCATTAGGCCTTTCCTGTGGATTCTGACTTGCAACATTTTCCACATGTCTCATTTTCATTTGCACTGATACCATTCAAACTCTCAACTAGCTTACTTGTACGATACCAATAATCTAGTTACTGTCCTTTACTTCAACACTAGTCATATTAATTTTCTGAAATCAAGTTTTTTTTCTTTTTCATTTTATTTTTCGTGCTGGAAAGTTAAGACGTCTCATTACCCTCCAAATACAGTAAAGTCCAAATTTCTTAGCCTAGCATTTAGGAAGATTCATTAACTGACAAAAACTGGCATTCATTTCCCAGATATTCCTCACAGCAGTGCTCTTAGCTGGCATAATATTATTTTTTTCTGTTTGGGAAGCATTTACCCTTTTTCATATTTCCAAATCCTCCTGAAGACCCAGTTCAAATATAACATGTAATTAAGACTGTGATAGCTACTGCGCTTTTTCACCTCAAATCCTGTTAGTAAGCTCTCCTTCTAGCGGACTTTCTAGTGTTTTTGTCATGGTACCAAGACTTTCTACGTTGAACAATACTCTTCCTTGCACAAGTTTTACACTACCCATAAAACAGTACTTTAAGGGCTGGGGAGAGCAGCCCATATAATTCTAATCACTTGCTGGTTCACTTCTGCAAAAGGCACAAAGGAAACAGACTCCTACCCTAAGAAAACCAAACTTCAAAAAAGCAAAACAAAAAACACCCATTTCAGGATTGAGAACTTGTACTGTATAATGCTTACAGCTAAAATACTCTTTTAATCTTTCACCTGACAAATACGGTGTAAACTCTTTGAACAGGGACTTTTTCTATTCTTGGTGTCACTGTCATTTCATGAATCCTTGAAATTTGACAGGTCCTCAATATTTGTTGAATGAATGAACTAGGTTTCTACTTAAATGTCACTTTCTGGGCTTCTGCGATCTCTCCAACAGAAATTGGGTATTCATATATAAATACATGCATTCCCTTGTATCTCATTTTCCACCGTTCCTACTCATCTCAGAATGAGTCTAAAGTCGATGCTCTAAATGTGCCGGAGATAAAGGAACCCCACTGTAGTCCCAAACAGCGCAATCTTAGGAGTACCATCTCCTAACAGCTCCGGAGAGCCTTCCTCCCTGTCTTTGCAAGCTTCTGCAATCCTTCCCAGTCATCATTCTTTCAAAGTCCCTCCACGGAGTGCCTGGACCTATAGTATACGGATACCTTAGGGCCACGCCGGGGAACGCAGGGCAGGTGATTCGGGCACCGATTCCAACACGATCTGAGCAGCAGAGAAGCCGGAAGCGACGGGAGGGGACTCAGGGAAGCACTGTCAACCTCCGATCAAAGCGAGACACAGGGAAGGCCTCGCACAGGATGGCAGAGATGACGGGTGCGGGGGCCGGGGGCTGGCTGTGCCCTGAGGAAGAAAGGTCGGGGCGGGGTTCCCAGCCCGAGGCCCCACGCCGTGGCCTCACCCGCGTGTCCAGTCCACGGGGCCCTCGGAGGAGGTTTAGTCCTAGCTGAAAGCTGGGGGCAGCCAAGCGGGGGTGCGCACCGCCCACACCCCAAATACTAGGGTAGTCCTCAGGCAGCGAGGAAGCCAGGATCTCACGGGCTCCACGCCCCTTGCCCCTAGCGGGACCAGAGCATCCCAGCGCGTCCGCAAACGCACGGCCGTCTCCACTCACTCTTCCGCGCCGAGACCGCCCCCTAACCGCTCCCCTCACAGCCGGCTTCTGATGCCAGGAAAGAAAGGTTCCGGCTTGGCAGGGCGACCATAGGAAGTGACGTAATCACCGACTTCCGGTCCGCCGGATTATGAATGAGTGGTGGCGCGGTTGTTTTCTACACCAGCTGCCCATTTTTCTTTCTTGGCACCTCTGGAAGCCAGGGTTCGGCTGGCAGCAGCTCCCGGGAGGAGGCTCGGATCCCGGCTCGGGCTGGCGGGAGGACGCTGGAGGCCGCCGTCGCCCTCCCGCACCCTCCCTGCCTGGCCGTGCCTCTGCCACCAGGTAAAGAGGGCGCTCGGCCCGGGTCCCTCGGCCCCGCGACCCCGACGGGAGCGCGCCCGTCCGGGGTCCTCGGGCCGCGGCCGCGCACGGGCGGTGAGGGCTGGAGTCCTGCTCTGACCCCTCTCAGCCTCACGCTCACGGGCAGAGCTCCCGGCGTGCAGCTGAGGGTCGCGTCCTGCCCTGGCCGCGCGGGCCTCAGTTTCCCCAGCCGGTCTCATGTTCCCTCTGCTGGCAGTGCTGTGGGTAGTTTGCAGTTCATTGTAGTTACAAGACCTCTTGGATCACACTTTTTTTCTCTCTTTTCTTTCTGACACTTAGATTCCAGTGCAGCCCTTCCTAGTTGGAGCAAACACTTTTATGTGAACGCTGCAAAGGACTTGCTTCATCTAGGGACGCTTGCTTATGGGACATCGTCAAAGCAGTGTTCCTCCACTGTTATTTGCCTATATAGAAAATTTCTTTGTGTTTAACTTGGATTAAAATTTCACTCGTCCACGTACTTTTCATCCCAGTACTCCTGGCTTTGGAACTAGGGGACTTAATATTTTCCTCTTTATTCTTGGTGCCATACGTTCTTGAATGTCAAGAAAATGCCAACATTTAATAATATCTTGCGCTAACTTTGAGAAAGAAGGTGTATATACTTCTGTAGTAATTTTCCAGGCTTGTGTATAAAACAGTGTTTACAGGAGAAAAGGTAAAACGTAACATGAAGTAGCTATGTGACAGTTTTAAACATGTAAACATGGTCATTTCAATACTATGAAAATAAACTGTTAAAACACAGCTGAGTGATTTACTGACATTTAATAAACAATAAACTGTATTAATTACCTGTTGGTGACCATACACTACTGAAGTGATTACTCTAAGCACATTCTTTATTTAAATGGTGTTTGAGAATACCTAAAAGTATGATTCAAGAGGTCTAACTTCAAAAAGACTTCAGAATCAAAAATTGGAGAATTGTTTTCCTTCAGTCTTTCTTTTCTTTTTTCAACACTTCTACATGTTTGCCTACCCTTAAAAAAAAGTCAGATTTGTACTTCTCGGCCTGTGTGCATGTCTGTAATCCCAGTACTGAGGGAGGCTGAAGGAAGAGGAACACCTGTGCGGTCCCACCGGGGCAATTTGGCGACACGCAGTCTCCAAAAATAAGAAACAGATGCGGAGGATGTAAATGAATGGTACAGGACCCTGGGTTCTATCTCCAGTACAGGGAGCAGAGGGAGTTGAACTTTGGAAGTTTTAGGCCCATCTGGTTGGTTTAAACATACTTTATAGCTGGTGTATCATTGCCTGTGGTGTGAAATGATTATCTAGTATCTAAATGGCCTTTCTAATATAACAACTTAGCAAACTTTGAAATAAATTCTGGGTCTTAAGACAACTGACACAACTATAGTGTATGTTATTTTAAATACCGTATTGAAAGTAGCTTACTGAATTCTGTTATGGTTAGTACTTGCACTGCAGAAATTTGAACCATTTAGATCAGAACAAATATAGGTGTTGTTTGCTGTGGGAATTTAGTGGTGTTTTTGTAGGTGATTTTTGGCTGATGTTTCTAACATGTTAGCATTTCATGCTATAGATCCCTGTTAATTATGAGATCGGGCTCAGCTGTATTCCTTTTTGACTCCATAGCAACAGATGAGTCCCTGATTCTCCGGAGAGATTACATACTTCTTTTGTCACTAAAGTTACAGTAAGCTTTTTTACTTTAAAACTTCCTCTAACTTCTTGCTCAGATAAGAAAATATCCAACTTTAATCGTAAGCTTATGTCCTCTGGCACTTAATTATATCCTGCATTACATAAGTTAATGAGCTCTGGTCAAGCTCAGTTTTCCTTTTTCTTGTTTGATCTTTAGTATTAAGAATGTTAGCTGTTATCTCCAGGGGAGTGAGGTTTTTTGTTTTTAATCTATGTTACTGTAAAAAAATAGGATGAGATTTGCAACAAAGTAGTTCTGATTCATGAAAGCTATAAGAGCTAACTTCTAATATTCAAAATGTTGAACAGCTGATGTAGAAGAGAATTTAAACAGGTTTTAATCTTTAAGACAAGTAAGTTTGTAGTTTTTCATACTGTCCGCATATTTTTATAATTGGATAATATGTATGTGGACTTACAAATTTCACATTTATATTGTACTTTTTTTTATTCTCTGGTTCCAGTCTTAGTTAAAAATATTTTTCAATGTCTGAGGGACAAAACTTAATGAGCATGAATCACCCACCTCTCCTGGGAAGAAATTTGGAAGTATAAAGCATAATTTGGATTTTACATCTCTCAGTTTGTGGATTTTTAAAGTATCTGTGGATGAAGAATTTGGGCATAAATTATGTGAATAATAGAAGCCGAGGATTTAGCTAGCTCAGTAAGGGTGTCTTCTCCCGGCATATGCAATACCCTGGTTTCAATCCCCAGCACTTTCAAAACTTAAAAAGAATAGTAGCATTTATTTAGGGACTTACTGTGTGACAGTCATTGTTCTGTTCACACAGCACACTATATGAGGTACTATATTTTATTGTCCTTATTTTATAAATTAGGAAATTATAGTAGAAATTTTATAGCAACTGAGAATCAGAATAAGAGTTTGAATTTAGTCTAGCTGAAGGTACTGGGCTCTTAAATATTACTTTATAATTCTTGTATACATAACTACTTGCTATGTAACTATAGAATCTAGGTTCTCGTATAAATATCAATTCACATAAAACTTGTAGTGGTATTTATTTATTTAGAATAAGTTCCTGGTACATTTTAGGTATACGTAATGATCACATTCAGTATAGGGAATTTGTTCCTGTACATGATACAACTTGATTTTTTTCCCCTCCATTTCCCTACCCTCCTTCAACCCCTTTTACCTTTCTTATTTACGAAAGCTTTGTTTCCATTTTTTCCCCCTTTTCCTCATCATTTTTTTCTTTTCCCTTCCTTCTACCTCCCTTCTCTCTAGTTCCCGTCCCCATTTGAACATTTTCTTCCTATTTCACTATATCTGTTATGCATTTTAGTGCTTATTTACACTTTTGGTTTCTCATATCAGAAAAACAATGCAGTATTTACATGTGTCCGATTTTTTTCACTTAAGAGTATGGCCTCAAGATGCATCCAATTAGCTAGAAATGTCTCAGGCTCTTATGGCAGATTAGTACTCCATTGTGTTAAAAAAAAACCGCATCTTTAACCATTCATCAGTTGATGGGAATTGGGGCTGTTTGCAAGATTTAGCTATAACAAACTGCTGCTATAAACATGGGTGCACATATATCACTAGTGTGATGATTTTAATTCTTTCAGGAAGACACCAAGAAGAGGAATAGCTGGGTCCAATGGGACCTATAATCCTAGTTTTTTGAGGAATCTCCATATTGATTTCCATAGCGGTGATACCAGTCTACACTCCCACCAACATTTCCTTTTGCCCTACAGCCCCGCCAGCATTTATTATTGGTTCATTTCTTTTTCAGTGTTTTATTTTGTTTTTGTTTTTGTTTTGGTACTGGAAATCAAACTCAGAACTGTGTGCTTGCCAGGCAGGCTCTGTGCCTCTGAGCTATATCCCTGGGTATTGGTTGATTTCTTGATGATAGCTTTTCTTTCTGGGGTGGGATGGAATCTCAACATTGTTTTAATTTGCATTTCTTAAATGATCATGATGTTGAACATTTTTTTCATATGTGATTTGCCATTTCTACGTCTTCATTTGAGAAGTGTCTGTTTTAGGTGTCCATTTTTGGATAGGGTCTTTGAGTTTGGGGCAGGTCTACTTTTTTTAAGTTCTTTATATATTCTAGATAGTAGTCTTTTTGAGGAACAGCTAGTAAAAATTTTTACCACACTATAGGTTTTCTTTCACTCTGTGGTGGTTTCTCTTACTGTGTAAAAGTTTTTTTAATAAGATGAGATCCTTGTTGTTCTTTCTTTGTGATACTTCCTGTGCAATTGGGATTTTGTTCATAAGGTCTTGGCCTAGACCAGTGTCTTCAAGAGTTATACCTATTCTCTCTTCCAGCAGAGTTAGTGTTTCTCTTTTAATATTTAGATCTTTGATCCATTTCAATTTTAGTTTAGTACATGGTGAAAGATGTGGCTCCAGTTTTAATCTTTAGCATGTGCAAAGCCAGTTTTTCCAGCACCATTTATTAGAGGCTATCTTTCTTCCAGTGAAGGTGTTTGGCACCTTTGTCAAAGATAGATTGGCTGTCTATGTCTTGAATCGTTTCTGCATCTTCTAATCTGTTCCATTGATCTTCAGGTCTGTTTTTTTTTTACCAGTACCATGTTGTGTTTATCACAGTAGCTTTGTAGTATAATTTCAAGTCAGGGATTGTGATGCCTCCTGCCTTGCCTTTGTTACCCAGAATGGCCTTTGTTATTCTAGGTCTCTTCTCATTCCAATTGAATTTTAGGATTTTTTTCTCTAATTCTGTGAGACATATTATTGGAATTTTGGTCAGGATTGCATTCAACCTCTATTGCAATTTTGGAAGTATGGCCATTTTCACTATATTGGTTCTTCCTATCCATGAGCAAGGGCTATCTTTCCATTTTCTGAAATCCTCTTCAATTTCGGTTTTCAGAATGTGTAGATTTCAGTGTAGAGGTCTTTTACTACCTTTGTTAGGTTGTTTCCTAAGTATTTCTTTTTTTTTTTTTTTTTTTTTTTGGATGCTATTGTGAAAGGTGTTCTTTCCCTAATTTCTCTCTCAGTGAGTTTATTTGTGTATAGGAAGGCTATTGATTTTTGAGTGTTGACTTTGTATCTAGCTACACTACTGAATTTGGTTATTAAATCTAGAAGTATTTTCTTGGACTTTTGGGGTCTTCTCTGTAGAGTATCATGTAATCTGCAAATGATAATTTAACGTCTTGCTTTGTTTTTATTACTTTCTCTTGTCTAATAGCTCTGGCTGATGTTTCCACAACTATATTGAGCAAGAGTGTTAACAGTGGACATCCATGTCTTGTTCCTGATGTAAGAG